TGTGCACAGCAACACTGAGCAGGAGCTGGATTCTATTGCAACTCAAATAATACTGACAAATAAGGATGCCATATCTTCAAGTTGATGAGCATAAGCATACTTACGTTATGAGATGTATAATAGAGCAGCAATGATTAGGTGATTAATCCTTCAGTTGATTGTCAGAAAAATAATCGCCAAAAAAAATTCTGATAATCAATTAATGTACATACACCTCGTGCACAGACTTGTGAAAAATCTAAGTTAAAACTTAGCGACACAACGATGCCACCAGCATTATGTGCCACTAATTTATGAGCAGCTGTGATGGAAAAATATAGAGCTAAAATGATTGGTTGAATGAGTTGAAAATAATCTTCAACTGTTTTGATAGTCGATTAATAATTTCAGTAATTTTTTGAGCAGAAATGCCAAACATCATCTGACTCCAGCTTCTAAAATGTTAAGAATTTGCTGTTTTTCTTTGTCAAGTTTGTAAGTAAACTGAATATTTTGGGGGGGTTTACACTGTTGGTCGGTCAACTGTGATAATTATGACACACGACCTGATAGTGAGTCCATTTGAATCTAGTCGGGTAATAGACATTCTGACACACAGACCCAAGACCAAGACCTGCAGCAATAGAACTGGACCCTACCTGGACCTTGTTAAACTGAATATACTTTGGACCAAGCCCAACTCAGGCCCTTGCCAGGTCTCAGTTACTTGGAACAAAAACAGCATACAGCAAAAACAGCATAAAATGAAGAATAAACCCTTTGTTTGCTTAGACTATCTGAATCTTTGCTTTAGTCACATATTGCCCCAGGGTTTCTCTTGTACAACCAGTCACTGTTTGACACACAAGACCACAGATTTGCGCAATGTGTCCCTCTAATTTTGGAGGTGTACCTCAGCTGCAAGTCTCTTCTCTGCATCCTTACTCCAATACGCTTTTGTTTTTATCCTCAGAGACATGTTTCAGGTTGTACTCTTGGCAATCATTGCAGACACACAGGTAGTTGAGAAAAAGAGAGTGAGAGGTGAAGGAATCTTCCATTAATGAAAATAATCCCCCTTGCATTCCAGGGGACTTCATAGAAAAGATGAGTTTATGGGAAAGGGTGTGCCATGTGAGGTTTCATAAGATTTTATTAATATTGGCAGGAGACAACGGGGATTTTCTCCAAGCTGTAGCTCTGGGTATATTGGGAACTTAAAATAAAAAGACACAAGTTTTGGAACAAGCATTTGTTTTAGAGCAGGTCTTTAAAACTAGCAAGTCTTACCTGAATTACATTCTCAGCAGAATGAGGGGAGGGAAAGGAGTTTCATTCCAGGCTACTGGTCAAATACCCAAAAGACATCAGACCTACAACCCTCAAAGCTTGACTGACAAGTCAGAGAAAATGGGGCTATTCCTATTGTAGGTGCCCAATAATATCTTACTCAGGCTTTAGGAGCTGTAGACCAATGCTCTCATCAAGCCTGTACTAACATTTAGTAACACTGACTCACTTGCTCAGAGCAGATTAAAAAGGGAAGGAGTTATAACTGATGGGAACACAGAATAAGCAACAACGTAACTGCTTCCAGGCTGAGATAGCTGTCTAAATATACTTAATTGGGATTTGTAGGCTTTAGTTTTGCTATTCAAGTCTCAAATAGCATATATTTAGTCACCAGGATCTCCTACTGACAATGAAGCTAAAGAACTGTGAACTACCACACTGACCATATGTCTAGACATATGGCTCAAGGGGATTACATCAATTATTTCTTACCAGGAAGGAAGGTGAACTGGTTAACTACTGTGCTTCATGTTCACACTTCTTTACTGGTTTCACAGTATGGCATAGTCTTTCAAATGAGTTTCTACCATGAAAAAAAGTGGGGCAAATTAAAAAATACTCTATTTCGTTGAATAAGGAATGAAACAAAGGAATCTTATGCAGTTTACACAGAAAGGAAAACAGTGTTCACCCAGAGATAACAACACATGGGAATAGATGTACATTTTCTAATCACAGATAACCAAATAGACCAAAGTAGAATGAATAACAGATGCAAATACATCTGCTCTTGCTTCAAAAATTTATCAAACTGCAATTCAGCGCTCAATTTAGCCTGTGCCAGTTACTGGTTTAAAAACAACAATTATGATGTTTTAAGTGTCATATTTTTCCTGCTGTGTCAGCTGAAACAAGAGAAAGTCAAACATCTATTTTGCCTCAGGATTAAAAATTGTGCTCATGGAGAAACGGTGACAAAGCATGATTGTGCAGCCCTATCCACACACACTCACACGTGACTCCATACACTGAGAAGCAGCTTACAGATACAGAAGATCTAATAGGACTGTAAATCAGTGAGGACTTTACAACTCCATAAAGGAATCCTGCAGAAAGCAATCTCCATTACAGCATGGTAACCTCCTTTGGATGACTTTGTGCAGGGGGCTAAACACTGACTGGCCAAAGGAGGGCCAGAAGTTCAAGTGGGACTGGCCACTGCATACCACACAGTGCATGTTGTAGAAATGAAAGGTACTCGTAACATTAAGACCCATTATGTAGGTCTTGTAGCATTATGACATGTAAATTAACGCCACAGGTGTAAACTTCTGTCACTGCAGTGATGATATCTGAATAATGTACAAAATCCAAATTAGTCAACAGTTACATTAACTACCATCTCCAGTGGCTGCAACCACAACATTGGTTCACACATCGACAGTGTCAAATATGATGCAGTCCAAGTGGTTTGAGATCATACGCACCGCCCATTAGCCATCTGTATGGGTCAACTGACATCCTGATATGTAGCTGTTTCAATATTGACAAGCCCACAGAAGACAGCTCCTTGACCAGGAATGTGGGTGGGAACGTCTCTCTTCAGTGCAGACAGGGATTTTCTACCACCCACACTTTCCAGATTGGCAAAGAAAAAAAACTGGGCTTTCATGACCTAAAAAGATGGTTAATGTTACATACCATTTTCCCCCTCTGCAAAATGGCAACTATTTGGATGTAATGAGAGGGCAGAGAAACACTATGTCAGCTCAGCACACTGCCAAAAAGCAACTGAGCTGTTCAAAACCATGCAGGAAATGACAGAGCTGACACATTCTTGCCCGTGCAGAGGAACAAGACTGCAAAAGCAGGGCAAACAGCGCAAAGCAGGCGCTAATGTCAGCTGCTTTTTAAATGTTGATGTGCAGTGATCATTACAGAGATACGGGCAGTTTTATGAAAACAATACTGGAACCTGTTACAATACATCAGTGACAGTGGGAGAAAAGGAATGCAGTGTTGATAGATGCCAAAGAAGTGAATAAGCTGCTTTGACAAACCAAGCCCAACACAAAATCTTACTGTAGACAACTTTGCCTCAAATTATGGACCATCTACATTCTTATAAATAACAACCCATGTTGGAGGACATACTATCAAAAGAGCACAAACAATTTTCATTATGTGGTCTAAATTACAATATCTGCATGCATCAAATGGAAAAAAACTGAGTCCACCTTGGAGCAGAATCATACTGACACAACAAGATGAGACAAGTTGCTGTTTATTCTTGACACAGCAGTTCACTGGTGCCCCACAGTGATTGCATCATAATTATATCAACCAATTGACAATGAGAGAAAGACAAATGTTTACTTAATCATAGTAACCTCCAAATGACAAAATAATGTAGGTGAAGAAATGATATGACAGATAAAATAACTGACAAGATCAGCATGCCTCTGCTAGCTGTGGTAGGAGAAGAGAGGATGTCACTTTTGCCACAGACTGAATGTGGAGTTATAGCAAAGTTCAACATCAGTGATTGATTGCTCTTTAGTCCTCTGTGGCCACTGCCTGGTCAGATGCGGAGGGACCATGCTTATTGTGCATCACTCTCCCCCAGAGAGCAGTGGACCGAAACAAAGCATCGTTTGCACTATCTGGCACGTGTGACATCTTGCTGCCAACTGCTCCATTGTCTATGCAATAAAAAACGGGGAGAGGCATGGGAGCAGGGGACATTCCCCCTTTGTGTAAGGAAACATAAAAGGGTCTATGCAGCTCAGCTTGATGTGAAAGCCTCGCTAGCATAGTCAGTGTGATCGTACTCAGCCGCCTGGGTGATGGTTGTACACACTGGAGAGACGAAGTCGAGCATCATGTGGAAATCCCAAGTAAAACCCGAGCTAGTGATAATTAAACCCTTGATTTGCGCTAGGCACCAGGCTGAACTGGAGACCTCTATAAAAAGGTTTAAAGACTCCGCAACCACTCCTTGCACAGCCTCTCATTTTTGTTTCACATAGTGTATCGCCTAGCAACAGTGCGTTGCTAGGATTGTACAGCCTTGCCAGGAAGACGACCACTCATCTCTTCATGCCTTTTCACGTCTGTATCTCCCCTAATTTCTGTCTACAGGCGCTCCCAGGTCCAGATCGCAGTATTTCAGCTGCCCGCTGAGCCCCTCTGTTGTACATTTCAAAGCCGTGTCCGTCAGTCGGCTGAGTGACGTGGCAGACAATAACAGGATTTCACGGGACTCTCAAACTTTTGTCGTGACATGCGTCCACTTTTGGCCTCAGGTAGCAAATACGAAGGACTCATTCGACTTGTTGGATATGTGGAGAATCACTACGGGAGCTGAACTCACAGTTCTATGGGCAAATGCCTCAACAGGAGTCAGTTTACGAGCTGCGGGCGCTGCTGTCAGTTTGAGCGTCAAGTTCGATTGCAAAACAATACATTTCCGACTTTAAATACCCGCTCGTATCCTCAGCTTCATGCCAAGCTTATTGTTTTTCGAGTTTCTGGGTCTATCAAACATCCTTCCCTCTGACAGCTGTTTTGTCCACAGCAGCTGTAGCTGGCGTCCACAGACGAGTTGTAAAGTGACGCTAAGTAAACGCCGGTTGTAATGTTAGCTACTTGTCGAGGCTAGCTTGATTTAGCCCAAATTAGCAACAGCTAACGCCTTCGCGTGATGTACTGAATAACTGAATACTTACTTTTATGTCTGCCCGCACCCCAAGACTGTTTTGCGATGCTGGGGCTCCGTATAATTGCCCTTCCAGCGGATTTCAAAGCGTCCATATCGTAATCCAAAAGTGGGGCAAAGAGCCCGACGAGCGCCTGTTCGTCTCTGTCGAAACACTTCGGATGGTTTAAAACAGCCCTCTCCCGTCCAAACTTTGTTTCAGCGTTTTTTTCCTCCCCTGCGTAAGGTTAGCTTTCAGGCGATGGTAGATTATCATGTTCGTCCCCCTGGGCGGTGTCATGTATGTAAATTAACCGGATAACGCGCGTGACGCCCGTTTGTGGAATCACGCGAGTGAGGTTGTTGCAGCAGCAGCGCTCACATCCCGGGCGGGCGGTGCTGTAACGTTGTTCCTGTTACCACAAGGCACAGTTTCACTCACACCCAGTGTCTTTTGTGACACATAATTTGGTAGTCATTTCACGGGCAGTGGTCAGACCTTACATGATTAATTTAGCCACCAGGCGTCTTCTTTTCTGAGCTGCATTTCAGCGGAAATGTCAGTAATATCATGTCCAAATAGGTTGGAGGGCGGAACTACTTTAATTCAGTTCTCTCACCTTTCCAGCCTGATACAAAGCAATATAAAGCAGCTAGATTTACATTATGCATCATTGTAAGAGGTAAGAAATTCTTAGAAATAAATGTTTTTTGTTTATAAATGTGAACATTTTCCTCATGGTAACAGGTTGAAAGTCCTACTTTACTCATATATTTAGTGCCTCAATAATGTCCATTAAATGCCTTGTTCAAATTGAATGATCTCGCTGATACACTACATACACTGAATATAATACTATTATTTTCTGAACAAGTGCATCCTGTGCTGTATGAAACCCAAGCCACCATATTCTGATGGCCAGCATCATTCAAGTGAACAGCTCTGTGTGTGTGTGTGTGTGTGTGTCTGTGTCTGTGTGTGTGTGTGTGTGTGTATCTGTGTGTGTGTGTGTGTGTGTATCTGTGTGTGTGTGTGTGTGTGTATCTGTGTGTGTGTGTGTGTGTGTATCTGTGTGTGTGTGTGTGTGTGTATCTGTGTGTGTGTGTGTGTGTGTATCTGTGTGTGTGTGTGTGTGTGTATCTGTGTGTGTGTGTGTGTGTGTGGGTGTGTGTGTGTGTGTGTGTGTGAGAGAGAGTGTGTGAGAGAGAGAGAGAGAGAGAGAGAGATTCTGTTATGGACCACTTTTGGGGACAAAAGAAAATTAATGCAAGGCTGTGTAATGTCCCCAAAAGTGACCTATCATGGGGGGGGTGTCAAGAGTTCTTTCTCGGAAAAGATGCACTGTATCAGTCATTGTTCAAAATTGAAAGCCACAGAGTCCCTGCTGGACATCTGGAGGAGAGGGGTCTCCTGATGAAAAAAAAAAATGAAGTTAGGGAGATCCAGAGATCCAGACAAAGATGTCTCATTTCACAATCCCATAGAAGAAACTCTACTGACCAGCCAAGATAAATTCATATCATATTGGCCTCTGTTGTGCATGATTAAAAACATGTTTCATTTCACTTTCTCCAAGGCCTTAAGGCTTTTTAGATGATGCAAATAGATCAATATCATAACTATAAATAATATTTTTTCTATCTATGCTTGGGTCAAAGCTCTATACCTTATAAATGCCAACCTAAGTCTGCCCATAGCACATAGTATGTTTAGTCTGATTTAGCCATTCTTTGATAACATCCTTGTTTGTATAATAATGATGCTGATTGTAGATTGTTTTTAGGAAGTTGAAGTTCTTCTTTTGTTGCTTTTAATATCCCACTAAATGAACTACTCATGTGAATGGCTTTCAAAAAATCTTGCACTACCAGATTTCATAGGAGATGACAGACTCGGAGATAAAAGTGCAAAAGGCTCACACGTCCCTAAGGACATATTAGGCAACACCACCACTATCTTCAATGTGAATCTCACGCAGCAGTGCTTAAAGTACTGGTTGTCTTCTGCACAAAAAACAGATCCAACAGAGAATTATCATCACATCAGTGTAGTGCTGTAAACTAAACGATCCCTCTGTTCTCAGAGGTGCATTCCTTTTAAATCACTGTTACTTTGTTGGCAGCTACAACCATGCCTCACTGAAAGGCTTGAGACAAAAGAGTGCACTCTCTGCTTGTAAATCTGCCAGTTACTGAAGCATACAAGACATATCTAGACTTTTAAAGCAGCAACATGGGAAATAGAGTAGGTGTGTTGGGGAAGAAAAATCAATGAGTTTCTGCAGGTGGGGAGAGTGGAGGGGTCCACCTGCCCATAAAGAGGGGCACGTGAGAAGGTTGCCCAACATTAAATAGATGATTCTACACTCTGAAGGAGAGTAAAATACTAATGATTAATTTATATATGACGACAAACACAGGTAAGCAGCCTTAGCCATGGGAGTATACTGTATCTGTACACACTGTGTTGCAAATTTACTATATCTTTAGTGATCATCTGAGAAAACCAATTCAGTTTTAATCTGTTTTCAATGTGTTTCTCTTTCAGAGGGACAGATACAGAGGCAGGGGGATGGAAAGTGAAATTCCACCAAGAAAATTGCTCATGGACTTTATGTTAATTGAGCAGGTCAAGAGAAGCAGGGGAGCTCTACCTGGAATTTCTCATTTATGGCTTTTTCTCTTCAGACAGCTGGATTTACTGTAGATTTGTGAGGTCTAATGGCATTGCGAGTACAGTTGGGCCAAATGTCGACTGCTAGAAAAGACCTATTATAATCTGTTAATTCCACATGCTTTACTCTGCCAAACAGTGTGGTGCCATGCTGGAAATGTGAGAGCAATAAAATACTGAGGGTTGACTGTAAAACAAATTTATGCCCGACCTAGGCACCGGTTAATGTGGAGAAAATGAGTGAGGAGCTTTATCCACATTTGTCTCGCTGTACAGGTTAATCATGTGTATTTGGGGAAGTCTGGCATGTGACAGAACACTGAGCAGAGGGTTTCTTTCATGCTTTGAAATTCTGTGTCCTTGGCAGAGGGATCCTTTATCTTCCTCCCAAATTCCCCAAGTGCATTAAGAGAATTATCACTAAAATCAAAATGTGTGGCAGCCCATAATTTGCTCCCTTTTATGGACCAATCACTGAAATCTCAGGCCCAGAGGTCAGCAGAGCACAGAAACCCCCTGGTGGGTGATTATGTCTGAATTTGAAATGCAGACAAAGGGAGAGCGTAGAAAAATGCTTTAAATGGTGCACACTTCCAACTTCATCCTATCAACCCAGTGCTGCTAGATAGCATTATGGAAGCACCACTGGTTACTGTGTTTTGACTAGCTGGCTGAAATGAAAAAAAAAAATTCTTCAATTCCTTTTGTCCGAGCTGAATGGGATTTTTATAGTCTTGAAAATAGGGAATTAGTGGTTCTTGACAGTTAATAACCAGAGTCTCTGTGGACAGAGATTATCTCTTTTAACCTCCACAATGAAGATGGACAGTGCCTCCTAGTGGCAATGAGATGATAGGGCATGTAGTGAATCTCCAATACCAGGACCAAGCAAAATTAACAATCTTATGAAGTGTTTTCTTTTGGTTAACATCAGATCATGTTATAATATAAGCTATATTTAATATAAAAGTCTCTCATTAGTGCAGTCACTCAATAAAAAGCAACAATGAGATCCTTTTTCCTTCAAAGATGACATTAGAATAAAATTAAACTAATGGACTGACATGAATTCCTGCACAGCTGCATTTTTGTATTGCACGCCCCCATAAAGTTTAGGGACTTACAAGAGGCAGTTTAAAAAAACACAATGGTCAAAACTGAAACGACAGAAGCTGAGATATCCTGGCTTTTAGTCTTTAGTATGAGTTAAGCTACAATAATACTGGATTCTACATTTCCAATAATGCCATTCAATAGTATCTTCTATGAGATCCCCTGATGGCAAAGTTTACAAAGTGAGTAAACTTGATGTGTAAAATCGGTGGAGTGCACCTTTAACAAAACAAACTCTTAGAGCTGACAAGTTGTTTTGAAATATCCCGACTTATCTGAGTCACAGCAACAAGCAGAGACAAGTCAATTTGCAAGAAAAAAAAAAAGTTTATTCCTTGCAAACCTCACAGAGCGAGAGCGCAGCCAAGGTCAGACCTGGGGAGAAACAGAGCAGTGACTGTGGGCATAGAAAACAAAAAACAAACAAAAACACTTCTCTAGACTTTCAACAATCAGTTGACCAAACAACTGACAACTGTAATTTTCACAACTTTTTTTCCCCCAGGAGCCAATGTCAGCAATCTGAGCAAAAAAAGCTTCTCCATATACAGTAGGTGAAAACCACACGCACAATGATCATTTCAGATGATGGTGAAACCACATCAAGCGATTTTTTCCCTGCAGGAAAATAACAAGACCAGAAACAGGAATAAGGAAACTGCTTTAAAACAGCCACTTGCCCAACAGTTGCAAATACTGTAACATTCACAAAAAGAAATTTGACTCTCTAGTCCCTTACTTTTTAACTACAGTCTACTACAAGCAGGTGACCACTTTCTCTACCTGCTTAACAGAAACTTCCATTAAGCAATATTCAATTGGACTATTTGACGAAAATGTCAGCCAATGTATTTGCAGTACATTCTTGAACACATTACTAGAGAAACAAGCATTCCAGTCTTGGCACATGAACTGAAGTGGAAGATTGATTAAATAAAATTATTTAACTGCTATATTCAAGATGGTATTTCCAAAGCTTCATGTACATTGCTGTCCATCTTTACAGTTTTCCCTTTCAAACAGCGTATGTGTTTTCCACAGTGCAACTTTCAATTGGAACTCAAAAAAGAAAAGAGGGGGCAATAGATAAGCCGAGGGGTTTGGGGTGTAACAGTAGTGTAGATGACCTTTTCTGTACGGATGCGTTGAGTCAGAGACCTGTGTGCAGGAGACCCTGTGGTGGCTAACATCGTGTCAACATACCGACCATAGACAAATAGGCGTACAATGAAGTATTGGAAAAATGGGACTTGTATAATGAGGGACAAAGCTGCCCTTGAGTGCACACGATGGATCAGCTTCCCCACCAGTCTGGAAATCAGTAGGGAGCCTGAAAAACCAAATCAGTGCCCGAAAGCAACTTTGTCCCACTGGACTGGACTCTTATCCATTCCAGCTTAGCCAGATGCTTCACAACTAAAATCAGAGGCCCTGAACCATTTCTCATTATCACACTCACTCTATGTCCACAACTCAAGGCACTGTGATGACAACTGTTGAGAGACTCTGCAGAGTACTGAGAAGCTGTACAGTCTTCTCTTACTGCACTTCCTTCAACTCAAAAACTCAAAGCGAGGGAAACCAAACTGCTGTTTTCACTTGATGCTGAACATATGGAGCTGCTTGGGTCAATTTCGTTTCGAGGTGTACGTTTCTGTTTACAACACACAATTTTCCAGCTTGTTGAAATCAACACTTGAATCTTAAAAGAGTGAACAAACAGAACCACACAATACACTTTAAAAACTATTTACCACCAAACCCCAAAGCAGCTGAGGGAGGGTTAATTTTCAGTGTCTGATTGTGGATTAAAAGAATAAATTAAATGTAACAGGGGCGAGTCTGTGCCAACTTTGCACTACATTCCTCTGGTTGTACAGATGTTCCCAGACTACCTTGGGAGAAAAACAATCTGTCAAAATAAATTGGGATACAAGTCAGGCTGTGTGATGAAGGAGAACTGTTTTCCAATTTTAGGAGGGAAAAATCAACCTAAAAAAAATAAATAAAAATAAAGCAGCTAGTCCCCAGGGCCAAAGAGCAGGTAACTGGTTGCAGGTGGTTGCAGTGGTGGTGGGGAAGGGAGAGCAACACCCTTGAGATGAAGACACATACCCGATTCTGTGAGGTTTCACTAGACACTTAAGAGAAAAAAAAAAAACTGGGACGTCCTAGTTGACATGTGATGTCCGTTTTAAGTTTTTTTTGTCTTTTGTTTTAACTACAACAAATACAGTCACACAATACAACATCCTTCTGACCTGGCAAGGAGAGAACAAAAAAACCCCAAGAAAAAACAACGTTCTCAGCTGCAGACATGCCGAGCAGATTGGGAGGTGGTGGGCCTGCAGGTAAAATAAAAATGAGAGGAGTATGGATGGAGGAGAGGGAGGGGCGGGACGAAGCGTTCACTTTTTGAGTGGCTGGTAAACAGAGGCGTTGGGGTCTAGGCCGGAGGGATTGGTGTCCATGAACTTGGAGGAGTAATGGGGGGCCACGGGGGTCATGCTGCTGGTGTCGGCTGTGTAGGAGATGCTGGGCATGACAGCCATCACTTCGGCTATCTTCTGCTTCAGGTCTTTGATCTCCTGGTCCTTCTGCAGGATTTGACCTGAAAGCAGAGTCAGTCCAACAACAAGAACTTTGAGATTCTGATTCAAACCCATAAATGATTTGTACATGTTCTCACACTCCAAATATTCTGTTTGTGGATCAGGCTGACCTTGTGCAATCTCCAGTTGTCTCTTGGCGTCTCCCAGTGCAGAGAAGAGGTCCAGTTTGATCCTGGTCTCTGCACTCAGGCTGTTCTCCAGGTGCTGGGTCTTGTCTTGCATGGCTGACAGCGCTGACATCAGCACCTCTGTGTCTTTTTCATTCTCTTTATATTTATGAAGCTCCTGAAAGATGGAGAAGAGATACAGTCAGGGTCAAAGTCAGGAAGTTAGCATCTGCGACTGGCTGCTTTAGCACACTGGTGACTGAATGTTCTGTATTTGGCTGGGTAAGCCGACATGTAGGTAACATTGTGTGACTGCTGTCTGACATAAATAAAGGCTGATAATAACTGCCTGACTTAGAAAAAGTATATGGTATATACAGTGCAACAGCCTGTAGCTGACTGCTTGTTTAACTTCATCTTTACTGCCTTGTGTTTGAGCACTGTTGTTATGCGAGACAAAAAAGTAAAATAGGTGAAGAAATTATATTCTTGATGTCACCACAAAAACATGAACATTCACCACTTTCACACTGTGTCCATTTGACTTGTACACCCAGGCATTAGCTAGTTTTGGGAAACTGACTAGGACAGAGTTACAAGAAATGCTCTGTCATGTTGTATTTGGCTGTGTTACTTCTGTCTTTTCAGAAGCTGAGTTAAACTGTGCTCCAGGTTTTTGTAAAAGCTATTTGCATGCAAAACTGGCTATATGAGCAGCACATCAAGAGATCCACGTTTCAGGAATTGAAACTTTCCTGGATCAATAATCTTCTTCTTAAAGAAGCCTCTTAATAAATCGCAAATTTGAAAGTCAAGACTAACAAGCACCTTTAGCTCACCTATTGCACCTCGACATTACACACAACCAAAATATATTAATACACAAAAGTGTTCAAGACATTTAAAAAAAAAAAAAAAAAATCAGCTTGGTGATAACAATTCTTATTAATACTTTAATTAAAAATAGGCTCACCTGCACTTTCAATTCAAGCTCTCGGATCTGGTCCTCCTTTAGCTTGATATCCATTGTTAGTTTCTTACACTCTGTTTCTAATTCAGTGATCCGCCGCCGCAATGTGTCTGTGCACTCCCCTCTAAAAAAAAAGTATGACAAAAGTATTGAATTATATCAAACATAATAACAAATGATACCTTGACAGAAACAAGCAACAAGTCAGGAGTAAAATGGTTGATGAAAACTAGATTGGTAACATCAGATGTGCACCTACCTGGATGCTGCTGCTAGTGCTACTGCTCTGGCTGCTGTGGCCTCCTCTAACTTCTTTCGCTTCTTTTCGTCTGCAAGCTGTTTCTCGGCGGTGGCTCGAGCCTCCTGCTCTGCTTTGAGCCTCTTCTCCAGTTGGCCCACTGCCTGTTTGTCCTTTTGCTTTGCCTGCACAGCATTATGGAGCCTACAAGTGCACAGGCACACACATAACAGAACAGCACTTTAACAAATAGGAAATACGGGGGAGGCAGAATCAGTATTTCTTACCTGAGCTGTATGTATTCATCATCGTTTTATGTGTTGTAGCATTAGTTTTAACAAGCCAACCTAAATGGCTGGTATCAGAAACTAACTTGTGAATGTAAAGCTGTTCAGCAGCAAGTGTTGATGTGATGATGAAACTGCTGTTTTCCTAGAGTGTTTATTTAAACCAATGCATGACAATGAACACCCTGAATTATCCAGATAGTAACAATTCTTAACCAAAACAATAACTTGCCTAACCATGTTCAGACCTGTTGGAAAGTAGCACCACTCACTTGTTCTGCAGCAGCTCGTTCTCCTGGCGCAGTTGGCCAAGCTCGGTGCGTATGGAGCGCTCAGCACTGCCCAGCGAGCCGATCTGGCTGCGCAGGTCCTGCTCCACCTGCCGGCTGGCCTGCAGGTCTGCCTTCAACTTTTTAACGTCCTGCTCCAATCTGTCCAAGGTGGGAGAGTGAGCAGAGAAGATGCATTGATGTGACATTAAATATGATTTTTAGAAAATGCACAACGCCATTGCTCTAAGCACAGATGAAGTTGCATTCCAAGTAATGTTACACCTTAGTATAAATCACAGTAGAAAACATCTGCCACAGCAAAACATTGCTTGAGTTATTACTGCTGCCAAAGCCAGTTCATTCAATCTATACAGACTTAGAAATGAAATCTCATTTAAAAGATTCTTTTAAATGAGTCAAACACACAGCATAACTGAGAAAACTACACATTAATGCTTCTGTGTGTTGTCATTCATTCTTACAGGACCTAAGAGTGGGTGAAGGAAGCTTCATAACCATTTTTATGTCCTACTCTCAGGAAAGAAGATCATCAATCCTAGTCAAACTTTGAGCATGAGCGTCTAAGATTTATGACAAAAACAAGGTGAAACCTTAAAGCAGAATCTGATGCTACAGATATTGTTATAAATTCATGTTCTATCTGCTGTCATCTCAGACAGCCACCAAGCAAAACCTGCAACAAAAATCCACATTGCACAAAGTAAACCAATGACAAAATGAAATAGAAACCAGACAGGGAGGCACTAAAACAATGACAGACACTGCACATCATGTCCAATACCTTTGACATTTTAAACTGTCCGTCACCATCAACCCTACACTAAACTTGCTTAAAAAACACAACATTAAAAGTTTTTAAATTAACTATGTTGCACACTAAAGATTGCAAACAAGAGTGAGATTACATTTTTCAACACCCTCAGTCCAATTAAGTCACACCAGGGATAGGCGGTCTTAATGACCATCTGTTTGCTTTGTGCAGTTTCTGTTATATCGTCAATGGCCTAAGCTTGGGAGGTCAGCTGAACAGGGACAGATTCGGGTGTTCTAAAATGGATTTGTTTTTGCTATATATATAGCACGATCAATTTCTGATCCCTGTTTGCTTGCTCCAGGTACACCAGCTGTCAAAATGTAATTGGTGCACTCCATAAAAGCACTGGAACCACTTTTGGGTGAAGCATAAAATAAACAAACCAGAAAATAAACAGCATCCAGCCATCACATAGTATAGCCAGGCTTTACCTTCCTAATGCAGAGTTATTTAGCCATCCAACATTTTACTACTTTACTAAATTTAATGGAGTATATGTACTTTTGGCTTAGTGTGCAGTGTGAATTAGAATTGATACCATCATCAGGATCAATGTGAACTGGACATCCCTAGCCTCAACACATACTTCACAGTGGAAGACAAGCTTACATTTCACACAATATTTGATGTGGCAAAGCCTAAGTTCTCTCAAATAGTTTGTTGCAGTATAGCAGTGTTTTACAATATAACATGTATAGTATGGTCTTAATGAGTATGTGTCTTGATGAATTTGTCAAAGTCTAGCCTGACTCAGATGTAGGCCCTGCCACTGGGTGCTTACTGGGAGACTAGTCATTGTCTGACCATGTGCTTCTTACCTAACAAGTGCTTCTGGCTTGCTCAGCTGGTTGTTGGGGATACAGTTGTCTGTGGGATCCCTGTGGGAGCCACCTGATGTCCCCTTCCCCACTGCAAACTTGTGCTTCTTCTCGTTCTTCCCCGTGGAAGAGGATGATGGTGCAGAGGAGGGCACGCTGCCGTTGGTAGCACTATGGCCGCGGGGTGAGGAGTTGAGTGTTGTGGCATTGCTGCTAGCATTTTTGTAGTTTTTAGAGGAGGAGGAGGATGAGGAGGAGCAGGAGGAATTGTTGTCCTCTTTAAGCAAGAGATTCTCTGTACTGCCCAGCTCTGTGGTCAGTCTCTTGTTGTTCATATGGTTCTCCATATACTCCATCTCCTGGAGTTTAGAGTCCACTGATGATGGCAGGATGCTGTTGCTGTTGTGCTGCTTTTTAGCCTCCCCACCGCCCCTTCCCTCTTTCCCTTTTTCCCTATACTCTAGTTCCGGCAGTGGTGCCGATGTCTTTTTATTGGCTAGGGCGCCATTCTGTGACACTGGAGGTGTGTCCACTTCAGATATTCCTTTAGCTGCTGCTGCTGCTGTAGGGAAGTAAAGGGGACATTTATGAAATATATATATATATATATATATATATATATGACAACTGTCATGAAACTTCCTCTCAAAGAGTCTGGTACGTACCTGCTATATCCATCAAAAGCCTTCACTGACTGACAGGCAGATCTTTCAACTACCCATGGATGTATCATCACTGACTCAAGGCAACAAGCTAGCCAACCAGACACAGGCTACAAGATAACACTACACACCTACTTGTATTTGCCTACTCTATTTTCAGATTTTTTTTTAGGTGTCTAATTAATCAAATCAATCAAATTTTATCATTTAGATCTAGTAGACACTGTATGTGAACCTCAGATTTCCTGAACCTGGTGCCTCATGTGTGCTTACAGTATATAGGCATGTACATGGATTTGAACCATACCTTCTTCTGCTTCTCGCTCTTGCCTCTGAAGCATCTGTTGCTCTGGAGGCAGAGCCTGCTGCAGGAGCTGCATGTAAAATTCATTCTCCTTTTGCACCTCCTTTTGCTTCCGGAGGCGCATCTTATAGCTCACGTAGCTCTTGAAGCCGAAGCCCAGTGTGACCACTGGGTAGCCAATGCTACAGAGATGGAGATAAACAAGTGCACTCACAAGTCAACTCTTGGCTTATAAATCAAAAATTACAAAGTGCTGATTTAGTCAAGGAAACACTGCTGCAAAAATTGACTAATAATTCTTCTTCTTTATGTAGTGTTAACTAGTGAATGAGGTTGTGTGAAAATTTATATTCATATATTAATTTAATCCTGTCTTTACTTCACATCATTCCTCTGCACCATGGTGACACATTCACAGTCAACACTAAACGCAGATAAGTCTTTCGATCAAAACATGCCTGTCAAGGACAGTGTTCCGCTGCCCCTAGTAAAAACACAACAGTGGCTCACCAGTGTGCAGCAAAAGGACGACACAGGTCCACATGGAAGTTCTTCAGGTCTTTGAATCTGATGGCTGCCTCTATGTACACAAAAAGTATCCATAGAGACACTGTGGGCAGACAGACACCTCTCTCTGGAAAAAAGAAAACAAAATAGCAAGACACAGATGTTAGAAGAGGGCATCAAACCTAACTGTGTCTATAGCAAAGATAATCAAAATCTGCCAGAGCTGTCACCGAATGCTTGGTCATTGTTTACTTCTTGTTCCATTCGATATTACCCGAGTTTATCATATTTTTCTAATGCAAACGTTCTCATGTCTTTCAGTGTTAAAACAAGGCATCTGAACCTTTTTCTCTCAATGACAGAAAAACAGTTTGGTGCAAAATGTGTAAACTATGTTATTCTTTTAGTATCCATACCAAAACTCAGGTATGATACTGCTTTGTCTAAAAGCAAGTCTGGGTACCCACTTAATTCTACCAAACACTCCTGACTTAGGCCTAGTGCCCAGCAGATGATGTGGCAAGCAACCACTTTGACTGTCCCAAATTAATTTTTTTAGAATATGGATAATGACGGGGTCATTAGACTCAATTAACATAGTTCTGCCTTTCTCTCCCTCTCCTGCACACAGTGCATGGCCAGAACAGGTTTAACAAGCTGGTAAACTTCTGCAGTGATTTCCCCATTGCCGCATTACCAGTGAACCAGGTGCCTTATGACAGAGTGGTCAGGATACAGACATGACCCATTGTCACCTTGGCTGTTATACACTCAGACACCTTTAACCACCAGGCTGTGGAGTGGCAAGGGATATTAATACTTGTGTGACATCCTATGGTTGTGAATGTCACTGGTGAGTTAAGTTGGAAGGCTCAGAAAGCATCTGGGGACCACTCTGTTTCTCCCTCCCCCAACTGGCACTTGGATTTCAATCTGACACCTGGCCTTTGGTCAACACAGGGGGATACCACTAAATCAGAGTGACAACTAATCCGCAGATTGCAGCTCACTTACACACACCGTGCAAAGTTCTAAGAAGCAAGCCAGCTATTTGCAAATATGATAACACAATGTACATGGGTATTGCTTTTCACACCTGCTTTTCATAGAAGCACTAAGTGGAAGTTCTGAGAAAAAGTGTGATCCGTGACTCCAAAGGAGGATTTATCTTAATTATCAACTGAGTAAATAAACTGAAAGCCTTTTCCTTCCTTTCTTTTTTATTTGCACTGTTAAACAGAACTTCTATAGACACAAAGGTCGTAGCCACAGGGTAGCTTTTGTTCCTCATCTATGTATGAGACGCTCGCAAACCATTCGTCAACTTAATCACCGGCATTTGCCAATTTCCCATATGCAGTATTTTAACTACCAAATATGAAGACATCTTAACAGAGGAGGGCCATACCTGTGTGCCAAACATACTGCACCCACACATATGTACTGGCAGCGAAAAATAGCCATTGCACCGGGATGAAGAGGAGGCAAATGATGTCCGAGGTAAACGCCACACACACAAAGAATACTGAGAAGGCCTGTTGGTGAGAGGAGAGGTGGTTATGATAAAGAAGCAACATATGCAGTAAAGAGAGATGTAGGTTGTTTGTCTCCGTTAGTATTTCATGCTTAACTCTGACAAGTGAAAGTATCAAAGCTTAAACCATTCCCTTAAAAAAGAAAATCAAAATGGTTTCCAGGCCTCAGTTGTTGGACGCCAGGTCATGGAAGGCAGGTTGCCATACCTTAATCAGTTATAATGGAAGTCACCTAGTCCTGGGTGATTAAACTCCATATTTCATTGATGAAAAATTCTACCATGAATGGTTACACAAGCACTGCATTTTTGGATCTCTCTTTCTACATCTCTGTGAGACACAGACACACCAACACACACACCTACACAATGCAATCAATAAGAACAAGGTGTCCAGCATCAATACTAGACCCAAGGCCAAATAAAACTGACATATTAACATCATCATAGAAAACTTAGATAACACAGAGACTAAAGAAGCAGATGTGTAGTTTGTATGTCATGTCATGTCAGGTGAGAGGTCTGATCCAAGGAAACAGCAAACAAGATTACGGTGAAAACAGCTTTTTGTTTTTGTGGGTGTAGTAGAACTCAACTGAACCAATGGCAAACTGACTGAAAGTTCAGATTTCTTTAGGAGGGTACTACGTTCATACTCCGAAATGTGATGTTCATTGTACACCTACTGCAGCACTCTCTTGTACACCCAGCTGTCTTCCAGGTTCCTTCTCTAATTTTGTTTGTGTTGCACTGTCTCTGAATCAATGTTATATGGGTTATTTTGTGATCCTGAAGGGATCTCTGACTCTCGACTCCTCACTATCACCTTGTCTCTTGTTATTTAAGTGATCATTGATCATGTTCACATGCCCGTAAGAAATCAGATTATTGGGATAACTCAGGTAAGACATGAAATCACTTCTTTCCGAGTCAAAGCTCCCATATTTAAAGCTTATTACGAATAAATAATGCTACAGTAAGTTGTTCATTTTTTCAGGTTCTGTGGTGTGAGGACACTTTTATCTTACTGTGTACTTGTGTCTGTACTTTAGTCTGATTTTGGATTTAATTACTATGGACACAAAGACCCACCGCTATGTGTTCTTATCTTTCATTCCAATGCACCACACTTCTGTCAAGGCAATACCTTCCCTGTTCTGGTTCTTCTTATTCATGCACACCTCTTGCAGAAGCTCAGTTAAGCATTTGCATAAATTACCAACAAGTCATATTTCACCAACAGAAATGTATCTTGGCTTATCCATCCTTCTTATTTACATGACATTTAAAAAATCAAGTTACTGCAGAAAGGAAACAACAACCTGTGGTGCTGAGGACTTTCAAACTAAACATTTCGATGGTAAAGTCAGAACAGGAAAATAATCCCTGTCTATAATTATGGCAAGTCTCTGTAATTGCTCATGAAGCAGAACTTTAAGCTTGTGCATTCAACGTGTAAAAGTCGAGTGTTGAACAGAGAAAAAAAAAGTCTGGTATTATGTTTCTCTGAGATGCAAATAGGCGAATGTGCATGGGGGTTCCTCATACACGTGCTGTTTCTTTTATACTTGTATATTTATGTTTGTTCTGCATCTCAGTTTCAAACCTGCTTCCCAACCGAATACACCATCATCTTGTTTGACACCAGAGTTGTCACAATATCAGATTTTCAATACGTGATTATTGTGGCCAAAACAATTCACAATATTGATATTATATCTAGAGAAAATAAAATAATAATAATACTGCTATCGGCAAAATTATTATTTAACTTCATTTATTATGTGTTAAGTCTCTTTTTTGGCAAATGAATTAAACTCAAATACGAGTGTAGGGAGGTGGAGAGAGATCCCGTGACCCTAACTGTACAAAAACAATTACACTTAATGGATACTACAAAAGCAACCTGAACTGATAAACAAAAGATCCACAAGGCCTAACATCTGCCATCATGATATTATCATATGAGTAATATTAACAGGATATCAATATTTCATTTTTTAAATATCACGGTTATGGTCAATACTTGTTTACTGCAACACCCCTACTTGACACACAGGTCCACAAAGCACATAGTTGAGATTTGAAAGGTGTGTGCACCGTTTACTCTGTGACCTACAGTTAGCCATAACAGCTTTCTTTGCATAGTTTTTTGAAAATACAATACATGTTTCTTTGGAAAATCACAATAACAGCAGAAGACAGTTAGGTCATAGCTACTCACCAGCCCCTGGTATCTAAAGGAGTCGTACACACTCCGGATGAAGAGCCAGAACGGCCAAAGGTACTCGAACCTGAACTCCAGCACAAAGTCTGCCAGTAGTACCAGTGCCCACACCACCAGGAACTTCAAGTACAGGAAGGTACTAATGAGAAGAAAAAACAGATTTCATGAGATGAATGCAAATACTCTACGACCTTCAAGAATGTGTTTTTTTAATAAAGATTTTGTGATTTGTGTGAACAAGAATAGTACTTATCTTAACCCTCAAGAATCAATATATAGCAAGCCATCATTAAGTAAATACACTGAAAAGATTCAGCTTGATTGTGAGTGTGTGTGTGTGTCTGTGTGTGTGTGAGGGGGTGAACCAAGTGCAAGATGTATGTCTGGAGCTGCAGTTTGATAGATTATGTGCCTATGTGCACTGCAGTTGGTCTAAGCAGCTTATGTTATAAGATGCAACTGGGTGTATATATAGTATATCGAAATTTAAGAGATTTGTGAGGGCATTCTGAAAGAGGTCTACATCTGCACATAGTTGTATTCTTATGTCGTGCTGATTTGAACATTTTAACACATTGACAAGATACAGTTAATGGATGTCTTTAGGGTTGTGGCAGTAACACATGCACAGGGAATGCTGTTGTGCTGGTTCTTTCTCATAGTCACAATTCGTGTCGATTTAATAAGATAGAAACATTTGATGTCAGTTGACATTTTTGTTGATAGAACACTGGTGGGGGTGTTCTTTGATCTCCAAAGCATGACTGTTGTGTGATGGGGGCATCTGTTCAATAATTCAAGGGCCGCCCCACAGCTCTAGGTCTAGATGCCACGTGTGTAACTAGTGCCCTTTAACGTTTGGTTTATCAGGTCACATAGAAGTAGGACCTGTCAGGTGTTGCTGGAAGGACAACCAAGCAACTTAAAGTTGTCCAAACTAAATAGTACTACACAAGCGCTTAAGTAGTTAGGCTAACTGACTGTAGTCTTATCAGCTCATGTTTACAATTAATGTTAACATGGGTTAGGATATTACTGGATAAGTGAGCTGTATGTGGTGAAGTTGGCAATGAGAAGACAAAGCTGCTGTGGTGCTAGCTAACAGAAGTTACATTAGCTAACAGGGAAACAGCTCATTTTGACGCGGCTAGCAGATGACAACTGTCGTTGGAAGACGACAGATAGTCGGCGTTGTTTAATCAGTATCCAAAAACCCACTACAAATTAATTCAGACAGGAACGTTGCTATGAAAGAAACCTTGTGACATGGTTCAGAATAGGCTGTGCTGCGGCCTAGCGCTACAACTAGCTTAACGGCTAACGTTACCTTCTAACTAATGTACAACGAAAACATACCGCTAGCATACACTACGTTGTCACTGGCAGCTAGCTAGGTTAATAAGAGTTCTAGCGGTGGCAGTTCATTAACACATCAGTGGCAACGTTGGTAAGTTTCATGTTCTGCAGCTATCAAGCAGCAAGCATCTCCATTCAGTGGCCCCCATTATTGTCGTGAGGAGGACCCCATCGTCAGGCTCCACATAAGTTACCTGCCGTATATACCCTCGGTGATTCGGTTCCGTTTCAACGGCCGTCGGAGTTTGCTGCAGTCCGCATTGCGCCGCTTCATCCTCCTCCGCTTGGCTTTGGCCTTCGAGTAACCACTGTAATCTTATCCAGTTTTCTTGTGTATACGGACAAAAATAAAAAATGAAGTGCCTGTGGTGTATGTCGCTGTTACTATTTTTCTCCACTGGAAACAAAGAAATAAATAAAGGACTCTATTCGGGAACCTCCTCTTTTCTGTGAGCGCAGGCTCAATAAGCCCAAACCGCGCTGTATTTTACGTACGTCCAGTTGTCAGACGGCTGGTATATCCAATCAATCTATCCGCCGAGGCCTCTCACTTTGACGGATACAGACATGAGCCACTTACGTTGCACCGTTGCCGCTCACTCACTTCTCCTCCGCCAAAGGCAACAAGACAGACCGAGGAGGCGAGGGCCGCTGTGTGCGAAGCGTCTCGCCGTTAAACCAATCAGATTTTTGAGGACAAATCGGGAACCGCTGATTGACCAATCAACTGATCACGGAGGCGGGCTTTATGTCAGAAATCTCTGCCTTTGGTTTATTATGGGCAGAAAATATGCAGTCTTTGGGACAAAATTCCCTTTGTGTCAGACATGAAAACATCCACTCCAACACACTGGGTTATTTATATCAGTGCCTTTATGAGCAGTTCATTGACAGACTTGCCCCATGGCCTTGTTTGCCATCTATGTTTTGTAACCAGGTCAAAATGTGTACATTGTATATGAGCGTGTGCGTGTGTTTGACTAAAAAGTGTGTTGCTGTTATCGTTGCTTACAATTATGATTTACTTTACCCATGTTTACCGTTATACCATTGTCTGTAGGCCCAGAGCAAAGTAACATGATAAAAATAAAACTAGTGAACTGACCTCGATAGCATTCTTTAAAGAATACAAAAATAATTTATAATTGCTGTCTGTAAATTAAATATCCTGTGAATGTTTTATGCATTTTATGTCGTTCCTCCTTTGGTTGACAACTCATAATCAAGCATATAAAAATGTTGCCAAGCTATAAGCACCTCACTTAAATATGCAATTCAACACTTATATATGAGTATACTACCTATATTTTATCTTTTATAAAATTGTATTAAAGAGAGGATTGGTGCTCTTAGTTGAAATAAAATGTGTGTTTCAATGAACATTAACATCAAACTTCACTCATGTGTTCCTTCTGCTGGCACAGCAGCTGATAAAAACGTAAATGTTGTTGTTGAGGTTGCGCCAATTTTCATAGCGCCAGGGCTTCACATGCGTCAGTTGGAAGAGAAGTCGCCAGACAACATCTCTGATGGCTCCTCGGTACACACCAAGTATGCGCTCCCGTCTGGCACCTATGCTGCTTTTCTTGCAGCTAGGGTTCATTGTGATATTTGCCTTTTACACTGAGATCCAAAGCAGAGGAAACGATTATGGAAAAACTTTCAGCAACATTTACCCCGGTGAGTAGTGACATTTTAAAATTCAGCAGTGTGGGGAGGTGCTGCAGTTAACCCTGCTGGGCATTGATAAGCTCCTACAGTTGCTGATTCTTTTAGAGCAGATGAACTGTGGTGTCCCCTGAGAACTGAGCTATCAACTGAAATACACCAGAAGTGACTGTATTGTCTGGGACTGTACTGTGATTCAGATATGTGACACTTTTTAAAAGCTCCCTACTTCTCTTCTCTTGCAGAGTTCCAGGATGTGAATGTGATTGTGATACTAGGTTTTGGCTTCTTGTGCACTTTCCTGGTGCGGTACAGTTTCAGTGCCTCTGCCTTCAACCTCCTTGTGGCAGTCATGGCAACCCAATTGGCAATCATACTCAATGGTATTGAGTATAACAGAGGAAAGATCAGGCTAGATTTGAGAAGGTAGGATATCACACTTCAGAGTTGCTTTCATGAGTGATCTCTTTTGGTTCTGTTGGTCCATATATGTCTATTATACTGCATATGGCTTGTATAAAATAAATTGTCACTCCATTGATCAGAGGTGTATTGAACAGAATAAAAAAATAGGTACATGATGTTATAGGATATTTTACAGTTCTAGCTTTGAAGTCACTGCTTGTAATGTTTTTATATAGCTTGGTAGAAGCTGAAATGTGCACAGCTTCTGTCCTCATTTCCATTGGAGCTGTTCTGGGGAAGACCAACCCTGTTCAGCTTATCCTCATCGCCCTGCTGGAGGTGTCGGGGTTTATCTTGAATAAATGGGTCCTCCAGACTCTGCTGAGGGTAAGCGACATTTAATTGAGCATTTCACCCTTTCATCAGATCTTCAAGCCAAGCATATTCACATCATACAGTATACAGTGCGTGATATGTATGTAGGGTTTGTCCTGATGATAATGTTTCCTGACGATAGGTCTGGCTGCTGAACAGCATCATGGTGCTTCACATCTTCGGGGCTTTCTTTGGACTCATGCTGACCTGGATCCTGCATCGGAAAGGGCCATTTGAAAAAGAGAAATTTGACCACAAAACAGGATTATTCTCCATGTTGGGTGAGAAACTTTCTCTGTTTTTCCTGATGTTATAGTATTTGTATGATTGTACAGTAACTGGGATGGTTACCCTTCAATTGAGGATCAACCCCTGCGTAAGCAAGCACAATAGAAATCCTGTTTGATGTTCTCTGTTCTCCAGGGACTGTGTTTCTGTGGATGTTTTGGCCCAGTTTCAACTCAGTCCTTGTGGACGATGGTACTCCTGGGAGGAAGTTAGGGGCCGTGTGCAGCACCTACCTGGCCCTGGCTGTTAGTGCTGTAACAGCAGCTGCTGTGTCTATGCTTTCCAGTCCCAAGGGAAAACTCAACCTGGTATGATCTGACACTTGAGATCTTCACACATAATTATGCCACTATAGGCTGGACTGAAAGGGCTGGTGCCTAGAGATCCACCCAAAAACCTAACCAATCAGTCAATATGCTTGATACCAGCGTGGTCTGACTGAGGGCGTATATCTTCACTCTTCTGTCAGATCCATATGCAGTCATGCATCCTTGCTGGTGGTATTGCTGTTGGGGTCTCCATGTCAGTGGTTCATCAGCCATGGGAAGCTATGACAATTGGATTCACAGCTGCTGTTGTATCAAGCATTGGATACCGTTACCTCAAGGTTATGATCACCACATGGACATTTTAGCCTTTGATTAATTAATGTATACATCAGAATCGCTGATTACCTCTTATTTTCCAGATCCACATGCTATTTGCATTTGACTGCCATGACACCTGTGCAGTCCTCAGTACACACGGACTCCCTGGTCTACTGGGATGGGTAGCACATCTCCTCCTGAAGATTAAAGACTGTGATGATCACACAATGTAAGAATGCAACAGTCATATGACAGGCATCGACACACACATACACTCAAAAGGTGTGACACACTGTGTCCTTCATTTGCAGGGCAATCCGGTTTGCTGTATTTCACATTTGTAGTCTCCTCATCACCATCACCTTAAGTCTGTCCATGGGAATCATTACAGGTAAGTTTCCACATTCATCACCCCCGCACAATTGTAAAACATGACAGAAGAAATGAATTTTAATTTTGCACTATCTTGTAGTTACACAAATACGTTATCAAATAAGTTTTTAGTATTTTAGTGAAATTCACTTGAAGTTGCATCTTTTACAGCATCCAACAACACACTGTACTGTATATCAATACTGGTTTATATTTGTCATTTGTAAGCTTGTTTTCCTAATGACCTTTACATGTAATTATTAAAAGGACTTCTACTCAAGTGGAATTTGTGGAGACCAACCCAAGACAAGAAATGTTTTGATGATCAGGCTTTCTGGGAGGTATGCAATCTATTATATTCCTGTCTGCATTGAAAAAAAATGGTCAGTGATACTGAACAGTATTGTACTTGGCCTTATTTTGTGTTATGCTACACCTTACAGAGCCAAAATCATGACTACCCTCTGAAATAAAATGTTTTCATATTTTGCAGTTCCCCTATCTTGCAGTGCGCAAGTAAGGCAGTGGAGACAAGTCTGGAATCCTGGAAGTAGAAACTATTTTCTGCATAAATTCATGTCAATGTAAATAATTGATACAATTATTTTTAATGCAAAGTAGTTAATAGAAACTTTGTGTGTCCAAGGCTGTTGACAAAAAAAATGAAAAAAAAAAAGGTTTAAGTGGAAAAGCATGAAGAGAAGACTCATTTATTGTTCAGTATGTTTATGTTTAATGCTGCCATGGCTGTCGGAAAATGACCTCATGGTCTGGATATTACGTAAGCAAAATGGATAAGTGTAGCAGTCAAATACAAATCTCCAATACACAAACTGCATCCTACAGTTGTGAAACCTTTGTTGACTTCAGGTCAGCAGTGTGAGCTAATTAACCCTCAACAATAAATCTGGATGATTACAACGTTTCAGAGCTGACAGAGAGTTATTTCAGGAGAAATACAAACAACCCAATATGGTTACATTCAGTATATGTGTATGTGCACAGTATTTTGTGACGTTGTTCTCAATATATTTTGTACCATAATAATTTATGTACTTTCCAGTCAAACAGTTCAAATTAAATGATGTCATAGAAGTCAGTATACCCGAAGAAACGTGGACAGCTCAGGGAAGTACATCTCCCAAAATACACATTTTGTTATACACAATTTGTAAACCATTCTAAGTACATGGCTACACAGTCTGAGTGCAAACCGACACATTTAAAGATGTGCCACATTTGAAAATATTCAAACTTTCAGGAACTCTATTAAAATTTGTGCTTAGTTATGATTTAGCCATTATAAAGCAAATGACATAAATTAAACATGTTAAATTGAATGCTAAAAAAAGTTATTATACATAAAGTGAATAACCACTAAAGCATATTGTCTCATACAATATAGAAAGCAAGCTTTATAATGGTGAACATAAAGACACAGTCCATTACTGCCACAGATCCTCTGTGCGTCCAAACTTGAAGACCAAACCCCTGCACCAAAAGACAGGAAGACAGTGTGAGGATGTGAAGGGTAAATATGAACTGAAAGTAAGGCTAAGTCCACACTCCTACATTTTTGTTTTAAAACACATTTCTTTTCCTACATTACCTCCTGCCGTCCACACTACTCCAGAGTTTTTGAGCCCTGACAACAGAGAGTTTTTAGAAACATTTCTGGCCCCATTTTAGTTTGAAAACTCTGGGGTTGTGTTGTAGTCTGGATGGGCAAAACGAAGACTGTTGGAAGCGATGATGTAGACACCTACTGTCGCTCCCTGAGTGGGTCTTATCAGCCTCGATTACCAGTGGTGAAAGCAACATGAATAAGGAATTACAAGCGTTACTGGCCTTGTTGTTTTGGCTAGCAGCTGTTGTGCAGTTAAATTCTGCTGTTCCTCGTTTGTAGTATATTGTGTGACTTATCAACTGCAGAGTAGACAGTCTGCTTCTTGTTTACATCAGCTCGAGCATGCTAAGTGAATGGTCATGTATGTTTGCATTTTCAGATGTGTCTGGACGGAGATCGTTTCTGATATGGAGCTAAAATGGTCGCCTAGAGTGTTTTTGTTTTAAAACGCCATTTAAAAATGAAAGCGTAGTAGTGTGGACATAGCCTAAGATGCCGCCGTGGACTACTGACTTACCCGAAGAAAATGAATGCGTTTTGGAAGAAAATGGCAATACCGGGGTACACAACAGGCTTCTCTGTAAAAGACACAACAGGTTTACAGAGGTTATAAAATGATGCAACATGTATCGTTTTGCACATGTATCTACATTCAGTAACTGCATCATACTGCCTTCTATTTTCTCTTTTCAAAACAAACTTCTGAGTTGCTTAATACTGTAAAATGACTCAATGTCACACCCCAAACTGATTCCTAAATAGTTAGTGCAAGTTGTGCTGTGCCAAGTAGACAAACAGGACTTACGAGGCACTACGAATCCTCCAAACAGAATCCACATGGAAGCAATGAGAGAACCAAAAGCCAGCATGAAGCCAATGAAGAGCCACACTCGTGCGCCTGCAAACAGAGATAAGAAAAGGTGGATTACTGGGTGAGTCAACACTGCGCTTCTTTATGGGTTTGTGTTTTACTGCATGTATGTTGTAAGAGTAATACAAGGAAACAGTTTGAAAATAGGGCAAACATACTGTAGAAACCACATTTAACAGTATTAGAATACTTGGCTGACTAGAGAAGAAACCATCATCACAAATGGGAAAAATGAAGTGTGCATGGGGAAATATGCTCATAATATAGAGTAGTTCATCAGGTATTTTCTGTCACACACACCTGTCTGTCCCATGCAGCCTTCACTGTAGCTGTCTCCTCTCACTTGGCCATTTGAAACAGCATTTATCCTAAATGGGTCAAATGAGAGAAAAAACAATTACAAACATATCAGAAGCTACTTAGTAAGTTATTTTTTACCAGATTGCTTATGTTGAACGGAACCCCTTAGATTGTAAAAAAAAAAAAAGAAGGTAATAAGAAACCATCAACACCAAAACTGAAGAATCTAATGACCTGAGGAAGAGCAATATAACAAAAAAAAATCCTCATCCAACGGTCCACTAACTTAGTATTTCTGAAGTTTTTCAGCCACGTCTTGTGGCCTTCCTTGGTTGATGTAGTTGTTCAATTGTCATGGAGATGGTTTAGTTGCTATCATGTGGCCTAAGTATGGAATTTCAGTCACGTGATAGCAGCTGTATGTGGAAAACAGATCAAAAACCACTGACTGACTGGAAAAGGGCTAAAGCCAGCAACCAGGACTCAGTGGACGGCCCGTGAAAGATTAAGGCGGTCACCCACAACAGAGACCATCTTTGAACAGGGACAGGGGTAACAATCTCTCCCCATATACGACCACCTGTTATCTTGTGACCGGAACATCATATTTAATTCATGTTATAACAAGTAAACCATCTTAGTGACAACTTTTCAAATTCATACACAGTGGAAACTGAAGGAGCTAATACTTCCTGTGACAGAAACAGTATGCAAAGCCTGTCTTACATGAGAAAGGCCACTGTAGCGATGACTCCACAAGTGTGATAGGCATGATGAAACTGTCCCTGATCAGGATATTTCACTGCTGCATCGATGATGATCCACCAACCAGTGAAGAACTACAACGACAAGATCCATAGTTAGCCTGAGGAGTTCATTGACTATTTTCTGACATGTGAAGCTTTAATGAGAATGTGTAACAAATCTTTTTGTTGACTATTTACAAACGGGAATCCACAATTCTGAATATGTTATCATTAAAAGCTAGAGGTAAATACAGATCATTAACATGACTCTCAAAATAGCCCACATTACCCTACAGTAGCTACAGTCTGTATGGCCTAATAGGAAATCAGTGAAAATACCAGCACTCCAGCAGCGATAGATGCAATGGTGTTTCTTCTCTCTCCCCAGTCCACATTGCACTCGCAGTCTCCGCACCGGATTCCGTCCAGAAAGCCTGACATGACTGTGGGAGAGGGCGTTAGGTCCAACAAGGTGTAAAAATGAAAACAACTACAGAAACACCTTGTCAGCTTGACAACATAAGTCTTTGTGATATACAATCGCTTGTATATAATAGCTAAAGTCAACTCCCCCCCAAAGTGATATCTGAAACCTGAAAAACAATTTTGTGCGCAGTAGCTGTACTGTAAATATGATTAACCCCACACCAAGCAGCAACAAATCTGTAACTCCACGCTTACACACTAAATGTGCAGCTTTCTAACACCTATTCGACAACAAAGCTGTCGACGTATCAAACTTAAAGGCTGCAGAAACAGACGTTGTCTTCATACATCAGATAAAAACACGTCCGTGTCGATTCTTTTGTCCATCGCTTTGGCACTAGCAAACATTTCCTTGAAGTGTTCTTCTTGCTACAAAGTCGCTGAAAATAATGTCATAACTCAAACGACAGCGGTTGTACCAAGTAAAAACATACAGAGACACGGCATTATTTGACAGTAATGACATTCTCAAAGGATTTCTTACCTTTTATTTTCGGTTTTTGATGTGAACCTCTTGGATAAAGCCGACTTTGCTTCCGAAAGAGCTCGGTCATGCACATGCGCAGTTCATCCACACCCATTTGATGAGGGAACCTCTGAGACGCTGATGATGATGGTGCCTTCAGGTGCTATTGGACTAAACGGCATTTTTAAAAAGATAACATTATAAGGACATTATCGATTATTAATCGACTTAGATATAATAAACATATGACGTAAGCTATAAGCAAGCCCATGGAAGTGAGTAGTTCCAACTTGCATACAGTTCATACTAAAATTGATTAAATATAAAACACGCATTTACTGCACGCACCAAACTATACAGGGTAGGCTTTGATAAATGCTGTCTTAAAGACCATATATCTTTGACATTTGCTTATTAAGCTATTGCGTATTGAAAAGAAGTACATTTTCCACTAAACCATCAAAGCAAGTATCAACAACAAACACTTAAATATGATTGAAATGATATTTAACCAAAGAAAAGATACATAATTGTGAGAGAAAAAATGTTGTGTATTTTCTTCTCTTGTATGTAGGCCTGTTTACATCGGAGTGCTTAATCCGTGGTTCAGTGGTGTGGGTGCAGAGCAGCTAAACACGTTTAAAAACAAAAATGTTTATTGAAACAAATGGATTGGCTGATTTTACACCTTAGTTATCTCAGAGGAAACAGCTTTCTACACACAGTCAACAGAACATAATCATAGATTTAGTATTGTTTAAGATGACGTGTAGATGGCTTTGAAGCAATTTACTGTATGCTCCATCTAATGGGAGATTTGTGCTTAGCTGGTGCATCATGTGTGAGTCACATTGGGTCTTGATGTCTGCTACTAAACCTTTTATTAGTCACATGGCAGCAGTGCTTTCAACTGTGGACTATAAAGAACACATTTGAGGAAGTAGCATCAGTTTTTATGTACTTTGTTGTCAATGATTACACAGAGTGAACATTCACAACAAATACTGGAATAAAAAATATCAATATCAAGTTAGTGGTCCATAAAAATATGATTTGCATCATAATTTGAAATAAGCATTTAAAGAATTGTACAGATACTTTATTGTTGATACATTTGAAAATGTCATGCAAGCCAGTGTAAATGAGCAAACGTGTAAGTCAGATGGGCAACTAGAAGATGGCATTCATCTTAAAAGACACCAATCAATTGCAAGGCTACAGATATGGACAGAATAATGACTCCAAAGTATCCAATGTAGCCATAGGCACCATTCTTCCTCTTGGCTGGATCTGGAATAAAACATAAAATAAGACAATATAATGTACACCAATGCAGACTTATATGAAACATATAATTACTATTTAGTAGGAACAAGGAATACGACATTTGCTAGTGGGGGAATTCATTTTTTGGTCTGATTTTGCAATCTGGACTTCTAATCTTTTGCAGATAACACATTAAATGAGTGCATTAGTTAACCACTTAACTTAAACAATTACCACAAGCATTACATTAGCATAATGTCAGTCTTACCTCCTGTGTAGTACCCCCAGGCATAGGAGAACCTGCTGGTCACCCAAATAGCTCCCAGCACAGATGCTGTTAACTGAGATTACAAAAAGAGAATCAAAACAATGGGGATACACAAGGGTTTTTTAGTTTGAGGGAAATGTGCTTAATCATCATGACACTGTCTTGTGGGCTTGACTGTTATCTGGAGAATTCATGCCAAAGATCATTTGGATTGCTTAAGGTGCTCCTTTCACACATCTGACATAACATGTGCAATCAGTTTTAGTATCCACCCCAATGTTCAGACAGTGCTGGTTGTGACATGTTTTATATTGAAAAACACAAGCGCTGTTACCAGTATTATGGTAAAGTAAAAATGATACATACCGGATAAACAAGAGCTGCAATGGTCTGGAAAACAAGCCACTGAGGATACACCTCAAGAGTGTTCTGGTGTGCTCTCTGGATACAGTTGAACACTTGCTCCTTATCACTGTACATAGTGGGATACTACAAAGATAAACATTGTGATTTAGCAAAAACCAAACGGAAAATGCTTCCAAAATAGTCTACAATTATAAATACTCTACATATTTTAGTCCTGTTTCAAAAATTATATATTCAGCGAAAATAAATACATTTCAAAAGAAGGAGACGAAGGATTAAATCAAAACAGAAAAAAATTCACAGAACAGATTTCCATCGTCTTTAAGTCAAACTTTAACTACCTGAACATCGTACTTCTTCCTGGCAGCTGAAACCTTGACTCCTAAATACCCCAGCATCGTCCAACTGTAGAGGTAAATAAATATGACATATCCGAAGCTGGACGGCAGCACAGTGAGAATATCCATCTCTGCTCGATGTCTGGGCTGTTTTTCAGGTCTCAGATTACCAGAACACGGCAGTATACCAACGAACCGATAGGCAATTTAACAGCCAAGTGAACGGTTGGAAACCACCAAGTAAACAGGGCAGACGTAACATAAAATATCGCGAGATTTCCTGTCAAGGTAATTTTTAAAGGACAACACCACCAATTTTTGAACCTGAACATTTAGGTTGCATAATCAAGTTTGTAATCTTAATAATAATCATCATCACCATCATTATCATTATTATTATTGTTATTATTATTATTATCTTGAACATATTTGAACTGTATGTTTTACTATACAAGCAACAGAGAAATACCAGAAAATACCAAATACCAAAAAACCATTAAATCATATTTATATTTGATTTATCATCAATTTCATTTTATTTTGCAACAGTCACATGCATGCTCAGGTACTTCTATCGAAAGACTGTTTTAAGAGCTCGAAATGCAGCTCAGTTTAAAGCTGGTTTGTTTGGTCATAATGTGATTGAATTGATCTTTCTTATTTTTGACATTGTAATACTGCATTTTTCAAACACAGACGAAGAATATATGAGTTAACAAGCCTGGCTGAATGCTGCATTTTTTTTACACATAGGAAAGTCGGAAATTACAAACTCCGACTCTGAAAAAATTATTTGAACGCATGAACAGATCGGATTTTTGACTCAGAAACTCGAGCCAACCATGCCGCAGCACCACCATTTATCTCTCGTGGGTTTGAATCTTGTTGTGTCTCTATGTTTGAATATAAGTTATGTATGTCATTTATTGACTAACTTTAAACCCCCACCCTAGAAAAATGGCGTGTTCATGTTCTTGTTGTGTGCATATACTCAGCCTCTTTAGAATATGTGTTCAAAGACATGTATTTCTATAAGCGGGTCTGTCAGTCGTAATAAATAATTTGATTCTTTCAAAATTTCGAGTCGAACGAGCCGACACTGAATCGGCTTCTACTAATCCCCAATCCAGGTTCACACATTGTTATATAGGTGTGTATGACAATGTGACTTTTGGAGATTACATATTATAGACTTAAAAAATAACTAATTTCACCCAGAAGGCATGGACTAGTTATGTTTGTACCAAAGCAGGTCATGAAAACAGTGAATAGTTCAAATGAGTCCGATCGTCCGGAAAAAGGGAGGAACACATGACTGGAATTTTCCACTGACTACTTAAAGCCCGTTGCTCCGCCCGCTTCGCTTTCATTTGAGTGACGACGACAGAAGCTTCAACTTCGACAAAGAGACAACTCTTGCGCTTTCAAAAACATTTGGCTACAAACCAATAATTTGTAAGAGCACTTTTTAGTTCTTTTCATAAACTATCATCCCGTGATTTTTGAAGGCGACTCTCTTGACATATCTCCTTTATATCGACGTTACCAGAACAAAGGTTTCAAGTTGCGGTCGAACTGGTAAGTAATACAGTGTCAGCTAACGTTAGCATAACTTTCTTTTGCCAGTCTAGAGTTACATGTAAACTGTTTTAGTCGGCTGTTGTGAACATTAATGTGTTCATGTAATTGTAATAATAATTTCAGAATCATTTTACCCATAAGATAAGGAAACGGATATATGAAGTACGTTGTAGTAATAATAGATGTTAGCTCATGCTAGTTAAGCTATTCTTAGCTTGCGTCATACTGGAAATTTCCAGTACTCTGGTCAGCCATTGTAGCCACGCAACGTAAGTTTGCTCACTAGGGGCAGCAATGAGGTAACAACTGTTATGCAATAACAGCCATAGACTTAAGCATACACTGTGGCTGGTGTCATCAAGGCACTTAAATAAAACAAAAATAACGCACGTTCATTGTTGTTGTGACTATAAGGGCAAATGTGTCACTCCATTCAAGGTTAATGATTGTTGTAAAAAGATAATTTTGATTAATACTCATACAGATTTTTTTTTCTCTCCACCAGCCCTTGGAACAAAATAAAATAATGACCAAGGGAGAAGACTCAAACTCTGAAATGGCCCATGCTCGTCAGAGTGATGGCATCAATGTAATCTTTGACCAAAACAGCCCTGCTTCATCTCGCTCCCAGTCCCAAAGCAGCAGTGGCAGCAGACAATCCTCTGGCTCTGCCTGCTACAGGGGGCGAGGTAGCCACAGGGGGCGTTCTTCATCTTCTTCGTCATCTACATCCAGAAGTAGGTCCTCCTCTCGCCCCAGGTCTCGCTCTCACCCTCGGTGCCACAGACGTTCCTCCCGCTGTGGCTGTGACAACCATCGCAGATATGGCCATGGGCGCCACCGCCGCTCCCCACCACGCCATTTAAGAGCCCACTCTCGCTCCTACAGCCGCTCGCCCTTGCCAGACAGATCCACAGGTCGCACACGCTATAGGTCCCGCTCCAGGTCTCCCAGCCGTTGGAGCAGGCACAGGAGGACCGTGAGCCAATTTAGAAGCAGGTTTTCCAAATCCCCAGCCAGAGGATACAGGAGCCGCTCGAGGTCCACATCTTCAGGACATTTGAGTTTGGATGGTGAGTTGATTGGATCAAATGGTGAAATTGTCATGCCCAGAGAGGCAGGCTTTAAAGGTGGAAAAATGATAACTTTGCAACTGATTAAATCTTCTTCCAAATCTAATCTGTTCCCCAGATAAAAGAGAACCCCTTGAAGCTGCAAAGGCCAATGCTTTGAATATCCTAGGTGTGGAGAAGCTGGAACTTCCTGAGAGTGTGAAACCAATCCCGTCAGAGAAGTCAACGGAATCCAGATGGGTGTCACCAGAACCGGAGACAAGGGTGAGACAAGACCTCGAAAAGACTCTGTTACAGGTGGGTGTCTGAAAGTGAATGTCAGCTCATACTGAACACATCACGCACTAAAGATGCTGCTTTATCACAGATTCCAATTGAAGGCCTAGAAGTATTTTTCCCATCTTGGACTAGATGTAAATACAAGGTAAGGGGTGTTGAGAACTTTAGGGACAGCTAATAGTTTTTCACACCACTTGTGCATAACTGCACTAACCATCAATTAACTTTTGACCTAGTGGTCAATGGACTCCTAGGTCTTTGGCTGTGCATGAAGATTTTTTTCTTTCTCCTAGCTGTCAAACCTTTGTATATCAAAGCGGCAACAAAAACAGATTATATCAAGCAGAGTTTAATGTCTACAGATGTCTGTTGATAAGCTTGAGGTCTATGTTGTGTTGAATTTCCTGTCTTGTGTTAACCTTTGGACCCCTGAGGGAACACACATACTCTCTGTATTTATTCCTGTCTTCATAGATAACATGACAGTGGTCTCCTTCACTCATCGGCACCTGGGATTAAAAGGCTGTCATGTGACTTGGGTGACGACAATATGTGTTTGCGTGAAAGGTTAATTAATAAGTCTTGTAATGTTTGCAATTAAACCAACACATATGTAGATTTAGCATTTAGACATAATGCACACAGTCCATTCAAATGCTAATCACACACATAGATAACTGGATCATTGACAACCAATTCAGATATTGTATTACACTGACTACACTTCATATAACAAGGCAATAGAATTTTGACATTACAAATGTATTCATGCTTGCAGTTGAAATGGGTCATTGTTATTTAGCAGAATCCTCCACTCGCTGATGGAGCGCAGGCGTGTGGACTGCGTTATAGTGACTATTCCTGTCAAGAGAACTAAAAACAGACGAAGAACTCCTCTCCGTATGCCAAAGATAAGTTGGTACACGAGGCGTGTGCTGAGGGTCTGGGAAACCTGCATCTCCATCATTCTGCCACTCTAGACAGAGAAGACATCCTTTTTACTATTTTGTTTGCATTTTTTTGTTTTTACTGTTTCAAGGTCTGTACTTGAAGCACTCATTTAATGGTTGAGCCTAGTCTTTGTGTGGGGGGTGGGAAGTGTGCATGAGAGCTACAGTTTGTTGAAGCTAATTCTGAAATGTATCTATGCAATAGAAGTGCTTTACAATATTAGTAATAAATCCTATAATCCATCTATCTGAACTTCACAAACTGTAAAAGCTCACTCTACTATTAGTTCTACACTCAATTCTAACTAGGTCTGTCTTTCTTGTCTTTTTTGAAACAGAGCAACGAGACAGAGCCTGATGACGTGTCCAACCTAAAGATGTCCCCGAAAAGGAAAATAATCTCTTTCAGCATTAATGTAAGTGGCTTAAATTGTTCCTGTTTTTACTAAACTCTTATGGTTAATAGCCAGACCAAACACTGCTTTACAGCACCCTGCATGCTGAATAATGTGTTTTAATGGCTTTGTTTCTCTTGTAATCTTGTCCCTTTTTAGAATTCTGTGGCCAAACCGACAACAGTAGCACCATCCTGTGCTAAGGTAACTCCCAGAGTGGACAGCTATGAAAGCAGGAAGCCCTACGGCCACTGGGTTCCAGTCAAATCAGGGCGATCCTCCAGCGCACGCAAACACACACTCACCAAGGCACACTAGTGTGGCCGAGTACATGGACACTGTAAATACTGTGAATATTTTGTACACATGTTCATTTCACGGTCGGCGTTTTCTTTCAGATGTTTAAAGAATTAAGTGGGAAGACGTGAAGAATTCGTTTCAGGTGGGATATTTTTTTTCCCCTTCGTTGTGTATTGTGCTGTAAATAGATTAAATAAAAATGTTTATTTGATTTATTAAAAAAAAAAAAAAACTGCTTGTTTCTGTCACTTTTTTACCACCCATAAATCCCAGGTCTGCATTAAGCCTGTAAAAACTAGGTAAGTGTTGAGGGGAAAGGTTTTAGTTTGAAGTGGCTCATCAGAAGAGGGGGATTCCGAATTTCCAAACTGGTGGTAATTATATTTTAATTTGGCGAACAATATGGAACTAAGCATTTACAAGTATCAAGTTATGGTGTATTCAGATATTCCAGTAGGGTATATGGGGTACACTGATAAGGGTTCATGAATACACAATTATGTGCGACTGAATCTATACAAATCAAGGGCAACTCCATACTTGTAAGTACTGTATTAACATAATTTGCGTGATGCCAAAACAGAAGTCATAACAGAAAAACAAGTAACTACAATAGTGTGTGAGCACATGTACAAACATGTTGGCAGACAGTTGAGAAAAACGACTAGGTCGAACAAGTGCCTCACTTCACAAAGACAAAGGGCTTGTTGTCTCTGTGCTGCCAGTTGCATGTTTGCAAAGGTTTGCTTCATCAGTCCAACCAAAGTGTGTGTAAGGATACACATTCCATGATTTGCTGTAGTCTAACCAAGCAAACGGACAAATAAGTCAACATGATAAATGGATACAAGTTAACTGCAATTTCTATAATGACCACATGGTGTCAGTATTATATTTTTTCATCTGTGTATCACATGGTTATAAGGGGTGGGTGTTATTTTTTATTGCAAGAGTGAGTTTCCACACATCTGAATAATTCCAACAATATATCCATACAATGCTGTATTACAGTACAAATGTATTCTCAAAAAACTACTGATGCCTCTGAATCATTCCAGAGGCGAGCGACGAGGTTCCTCATGATTGGTAATTGACTGCTTTTTATCGGTTTATCACAAGCCTTTTTAACAGAGACATTTTGACACACCACATGTGTAAATGACATTAATGATGATACTGTCACGTGACAGTTGAACAGAGTCATTGTTAATGTCATTAGTAACAGCTTTTCCTACTATGACAAGTCAAAATGTCTTGTGGAGAAGACCTGTACTAATTTATCAGTCACTGTCCTGGAATCACAGCCACACTCACAATGGGACGATCACAGACAACTGCGTGCTAATGCAGGATTTGAACATGTTCCTTCTAGGGCAACTTGATATAATCTGCTGTTGTGGCTACTGTGCTACTTACCCTAAAGCTTGAGTGTATTTAGCTTGACAAGTTCCTGGCAAATGTTAAAATAAAAGTGAAATTACTATAAAGAAGGTAACTTCTCTATTGGGTAAGATAACTATCTATTTAGTAATTGATAAATTCTAATCCCTCCAAGATTTTTCACACTGGTATTGGGATTCGTGTCAAAATCTGTTGTGATAAAAGGGTAAAGTCACACTGCTTTGAATGTGTCTTAATGCCAGACTGTGTGTCTCCTGCTGTAAACTGACCTATTCACTCTGATTAATTGCTTCGATATGAGAGAAAGCATGCAAAACGTAACACAGTGAGTCTTATTGGAATTGGAGCAGACGATACTAGAACACAAGTAAGCCCTGTTTATCAATATACTTCATTGGCCTTCATATTCACAAACACAAGAGTTGACCTTTGTAGTTTTACCAGACAAAGTGGACTAGACAGGTTTGTCTTATTGTATGACTCATAGTTTCATCGTGAATATCAATGTTTTGTTTTTTTTTACAGACAGAAGTAAGAATTGATGACTCAAAATCACCTGCAGACTTTTGTGTCTATGGAAAAACTCACCTGTTAACCCTGTGGTTTATTCAGTGATTTTCTTTTTCTTATATTTACAGGGAACACTTTAACTGGCAGTTGGCTTTAAAAGACTCAAAGGTGTCATTACTTGTGAGACACAACATTGGATTTATGCACTGCTGTTCCTTACGAAATCCCCAGCCAATATCCTCAGGTGAATCAGATAAGACTACAAAATATCACAATCATAAACCTGAACACTTATTCCACTCCCCAATTGATATCAGTCAGATATCAAAAGACCTCTCCTACCTTTCATCAGTTTAATACAAACAACGTGTGGCATGGCATCTTTGCACACCATCTTTTGGGGAAATCCCATAAATCCAGTGCCTGATCACAGGGAAATACGACAATATAATAACTATAGATACAATTCAATGTCGGCATGACTGTGCCTACACAAACCAATCAGTCTTTGCCCTGTAGAGGGTGCAATGCCACTACATTCAGACGGACAGGATTTCAGAAATAGGACACTTGCATGGGAACCTGTTTTCCTGTCTTTTATCTCCTCTCCAGTCACAAGGCTTTCCTGCTCATGTCACAGCTCGGGGCAAGTTGGTTAAACTAAGATGTGGACGATAATGAATAAATTCAATTGCTCAATTGTTGGTCCTTATCTCTCTGTGCACCTACACTAAAACATTCTTTTGGCTGGCATCTTCTGCAGCTAAACTTGCCCTGAGGTTTGATGGTAGTTAATGGTAGTTCATTCTCACGCTCAAAACGTCTCTGTCATGAGACCACACGCAGTAAAACCCACAGAAAAACCAACAAGTGTGCAAGATAACTGGATAATTGGAAGTGGTTTATTTAAAAATAAGGATAAGAACACTCATAAAAAAGTGTTGTTTTAACTTCTAATACTGTACAAAGAAACACCACACATTACATATCTTACAGATAATTGAATTTTCTTTGAGCACAAAATAACCCCAGCATGATATAAGATGTCTGAGGAACTGCCTTACAATACACTGGCTATTTTAGCATTTTGTGAACATGTACTCCTGCTATGTAGAAAGTATAGAGAAGAAAAAGCTTCACCCAAGACTCTGGAAAACTGAAGCAGTGAACATGTCCACTGAGGTGACTGGACTGACTAGACAGCCGTGCCTCTCTCCAAGTTTTGTTTGATCTCCGCTGTGTATTTGCCGTAGAAACGCTCCGCCTTCTTGTTGAACTTGGCATTCCTCTCGTTGATGTAGTCGATGTCTGCGTCGTCGTTGTAGGCCCTGCGTCGGCTGTACTTGGCCCGCTTCTCGATCCTGACAATTGCAAATAAAAGCAGTTTAGGGAGGATTTTCATAAACCAGTACGGCCACTATCCATGCCATATCCATTAAAAGTAATTGGCTACAGGCAATAATTTGGCAGTGTGCATTTAAATTTGGCAAGGAGAGTGGCAATGGAAAACCTAACGCACACATACATACATACTCAGAGGAAAATACTGTCAATTTGTGAGCTCCCAGTCTTGATTCACTGTGTCTTCAAAGCATTGTTGTGCGTCATACCCTGGCAACTGAATCCTTGTCTAATGCCCCACAGTCACATCTCTAACACAAGCCTTAGACTGTCTCAAATATAGAACAGCTCAGGGAAAGACCAGGGTAATCTAACGTGAAAGGGACTTCTGTAGCAAAGACAAAAACAAAGAAGCAGTGGAAGAACAAAACTGTTTGAGGTAACAGTCAGTTAAATGTGAGGGACACCAAAGGTACTGTTTGATCTCTATGTGTTGTGACTCTTATGTGGTTTTCATAAAGGTTTGAGAACCATCTACCCACATCCACTTACCAAAATACTTATTATTGTTACTTGTGGTAACCATAGGGCCGTTTGTTTGACATACGGTTATTTACATAATCTGCTATGGTTTGACCAGGAGTCTGTTTAAGATGCTCCATGACCCTGTTCAGATAATAATAAGGTGCCTCCTATCAGCTGCTTGCATCAGGATTTCCACTCTGGGGCTGATTTATTTAGCTCAGATAGTCCCTGGTTCACACAAAACAACCCCCTCATCCAAATTGGCAAAGACATTACAAACTCACTCTTTCCACACATAATTTATCACAACTGAGATAGTATCATATTTCCAGACCTATCTCCACACTACATTTGTGGTGCGCCAGTTCCAGAAAAAAAAAGGTCTGACTAAACCCACTGTCATTCAGAGATGCATGAAAGAAAACATTTTGGTTTGTTTGAATTGCTTGAGCCAATCATAATAAGCAAGGTTGGCCTAAACAGTGCTGAGCTCACCCATGCTTTTCTTAAATAAAGTCATGGAAGGATGAAATTCTATTGAGGAGGGTTTTACAAACAACTAATGGCCTGCCTTATGTACAGTTCATTATTTTGTCAAAGTTTCCCATCATTAGCGTTGAGTTTGTTTGTCTGGTACGGAGCCTCTTGTTATTTCTCACTGGCAACATCCAGAGAGCAGAAATTAAAGAGTTACTTTGTGCTGTATAAAGATTTATCTTAGCGGTCTGCCCAGTGAGTCAGGCTAATGCTTAATGCGTAGACTGAGATAAAATTGACCTACTGTTTCTCAACATCTTCCACCATGCGGTCAATTCCTTCCTTTGTGGGGACGTGTGTCCCGTGGATCAGGCTGTTGGACGTAGGGTAAAAGTCCTCACCACTGTGGAGCACCAACAAATGGAATTAGAAATACATAACCACAGATAATTGCCATTTTAACATACTTAAACTGACTTTTCTATTCCATCATTGTGATTATGGTCATCCTAATGAGAAGATGCAGTGGCTTTAGGGCAAAATGTGTTGGTGTATCATTCACGGATCTACACGTGGCAGCCTTTAAGGGTGAAAAACCTGCAGGCACTGAACTTATCGTTTATGCCTTTCGTGAACACTTTCCCATCTTTAAATTATTTCGGGAGTGTGCAGATATGTCAACACTTACCCCAGGGCAAATAAGGGGGCACACTAGTTGACATATAGAAAATGCTTTGTGCACATGTGATGTGTGAATGCTAAGATGATTACGTCAAGCGCATTTCACAGTTATGGTTGTAATAGCAGAGATGTCCTCATGAATTATTTTATGGCCCTGCTAGTGGGACAGCACAAAGATCTTTTAATGCCAGAGCACATTTCTTCCCATGTTGAGTTGTCTGTCTTTCTGGGTAATGTATTAAAAGACACAAATACAGTACCATCACAGCAGAAGAACAAGGGGACAAGAGGCTTAACTCACCATTCCTCCCGCTGTCTCTCATAGCCCTCTAAGTCTGGTCTGATCTGCTTTGTAAGCCTCTGGTACTGTCGGAATTGGGCCTCAGCATAACCTGCAGTCCATTTTGTGAGACAGAGAGAAAAAAATTTGACTGAGTTATAATTACCGGAACAAACAGCAAGCAGGCATGAGGCTAAGCAACACAACCTGCGGCTGGTTAAGGAGGGACGAAGAGGGAATTCTCCTCCTGCCTTCCTCTGTTGAAGACCCTCTGGTGATAATTTTCTCCCCAGAGGTTTTAATTCAGAGGAGGTTTTGATGCAACAGATGGCAGCCATATTTAGGAGACACAGTCATTTTTTTCAGTAGATTAAATAGGGAGCAATTTGAGAAGATTAATATCCCAAGGGGTTCTTACATGCGACTGGTAATGCTCTATGCACTGCTATGTAGGACTTAGATTTTTATTAAAATCCTAAATTTAAACAGGTAGTCTAATTGAGATAGGGATCTCATTTTCAAGAGACCAGTGCACAAAAAAAAACAAAAAAAACATAGACAGACACACAGATAATTCCCAGACATACATTATACATTTTCACATTTAAGAAAAGCATGTGCAAGAGTGATTGAATACATAAGTACAACCTTTTAAGATGTTCCAGAGAAATAACAGAATGTAACTTAATATTTTTTGGAGATCCTTCCATTTGCAGCAAAGTTTTTGAACCAAGTTTTTCCAAGTTCAGTATGAACAAACAGCTAATGTTCAAATGTCCTGTGACTTGACACTGTATTGTACTGTATTTAAATGTAACCAGAGAGCAGAGGTAACCAGGCAGTTTTTGCAGTAGAGCTTTATAAATAAACAACATACAATACTGCTCCCTTCTGTTTGTTAAGGAGGACTATCCCATCTTTTTGTATGAGATGCGATGGTGAGTGAGAGAAGTGTCACCTGTGATGAAGCAGAGTGCACAGATGGTACCATCTTTAGAAGCAACACGTCACTGTGTGATAAAACTGTGAAAAACTTCTTGAACGATCACATGCTACAGAACCATAAAACAAAACAGAAGACTAGAATCACGGTGCACCACTTTTTTTCCACAGTAAATTGTATTAAATTACTATTTACTAAATGAAGAGACTGAGGTTCCATGGCGTGACAGGAGGGTTACCCACGCCTTAAATAAAGCAGTTTGATCTAATCACCATTTGCCCTCAATGTTACTTCCTGATGTGACTAAAAATGCTTGCAAAGGGATTCCAAACCTAATATAGTCATTAAGTGACAATCACTGCAGTGTGTTTAACAATGACTGCAAATCATATTAGGTGTGAAAGGGACAGAAACATATTTTTTCTCTGATCAATAAAGCAACATGTAATCAGTTTAGATTTCTTCTAAAATTTAAAGATAAATAAAGACTCCAATCATTTGTCTGTACTTTGATTTTAACTGATTCACACAGTTAGTTAAGTGAACACGAGGCCGGTGACAGTATGTGTCAGGTAATCTAAAAGTGGCACACGTTGGTTGAAATGTCCATGTGCATACTGATCTGTGAGACTGAAGTGCAGGAGGCGGTCGTTGTGCTCCAAGCTCTTTTTGTATCTTATATTGATTAAAGCAATGTGACAAATTTAATAATTTCATTGAATTAAGAAGTTCTGGTTAAGTACCATGTCTTCTGTCCTCTCATGATGACAGAGAGAATTCATTCCATTCATTCAAACCAATTTAACAAAGTATCAACAGACTAAAAGGCGAACTTCAGTTTACAAATCATACACTGAGCTGCAGGTACACAGCAGCTAAGAAATTATAAGAAGGTGGCCTTTCATCTCTCCCACATCTGAGATGCTACCAGATGGATAAATTATTGTTATTTTGAAGAAAAGGACCATAGCCAACACGATTGAGGTAAACTAACACATACTTAATCTGTCAGTATACCGGATGCGACTGGCAGAAAAAACAAGCAGGTTGACAGGCTTAGTCCCACTCATTTGAAAACAATACACCTGTGATTTCCTATTTTGAAGAAACTGAGGGGGACCCAAGCAGACCAGGATGACAAACTCAGAGTTACTGTACCAACGAATGAATTTGTTCCCACTTCATGACATGTTTCATACCATTTAAACCAAGTGTACTCAAAGAGCACACTGCAATAAAAGTTGATGTATGTGTTCATTGGAGACGCTGCCACCGACCTGCAAATCCTGTGTCTGGGTTCTTCTTCTTTTTCTTCCTCTCCCACCGCTCTGCATCATCAGCAGTAATCTCCAGCAATTTCACTCTGTCATAGTCCTCCCCTCTGTCAGCACATTCCTGACGGCCAAATATTGTTTTAATAAACACAAAGCATGACTAAATGTATACAAAATGAAAAAGCATGCTGTTTGGGGAGACTGAGATTCAATAAACTTCTAAATATAAAGACGCGTGAGAAACGTGATAAGACGACAACTGAGTTTACAACCTTGCTAGTTGTTAACATTGTTATTCCAGTTGATCATCATAAAAATCTTGGCAGGCTGGTCAACACCACTTAGACTAAAATACCTTTTTCTTTTGATCTTCAGTAAGCTCCCACTCCAGTCGAGCTTTCTTAGCCTCCCAGTTGGAAGGGAGTTTCAGTCTCTTGTCCTCCTCCACAACCTCCTGGTGATTAAGCTTACGTGCTTCATTCTGTAGTGGAAATTAAAACATGATGATTGGTTGTACAAGTAGCAGTGTACATATGGATATATCAGAAATACACACCTAAGCAGCTTGAGTCAATACAATTATTTCTCGAACTGACACTTAAACATTATTAGTGCGGCTCGTGTTTGATGTGTTGTTCACAATTGCGAATCAGTCCACAGCTTAACGAGATCATAAAATTTTGTCTTCACCGTGTTTTTACCAGATACAGTTACACAACTCACCCGTTTGAAATGTAACTCTCGAAATTGTCGTAGTCTTGCTTCTCTCTTCTGGGACGCAGGAGTATCAGTCGTTTCCTCTTCAGTGACTGTAGCAGATACCTGAAAAACGACTGTTGCCATTAGATACGAAAAATATAACTAACAATGATACGTTTTAATGGCGATGTGTAACCTACGATAGACAAGACAGTCGAAAACATCAGACAGAGTCACAGGCGAGCTAACGTTAGCTATCTAGCACTCGCTAACATCGGTTAGCTTAACGCAACAACATGTGATTGTAAACAAGTGTGGAACAGAAACACAATCTCCGCGAGAGAAATGCAACATCGACATCAAAGAAATTATATTAATCAACTATAATCTACCACTACATCAAAATATACGAGTAATTTGAAATAAAAAAAGAATCTACTAACCTCACTGCGGGACGCCATTGTTATGCTACACGAAGGAAGAAGACAGGAAGTGTGACGTTTCTACCGGATATTGAAAAGACAGTAAACGTAAACGGTTTTATTTGATTATTTTGTAAGAAAATATTTCGATAAATGTATGTTTGGTCGAAGACTTCCATCTCTTCCAATAACCACGACTGAATAGATTTATTCAACGTAATTTGCTGCTAAGTGGATTGAAATGACGCAATAACAAAACACACAAAACACTATAATTTTTCTGTCCAGTCTAATTTAAATATTTTTCCTTTCTTTTAATTTCAAAAATATATCGCCCTTCATTATTCTGTCAGTGAAAAATAATTTCAACATCATTCAAATTATGTAAACTGTATTTCTTTACCGTGAAATAAATGTTATTATTTTCAACCACTATATTGAATTCAAAATATTTATTTTTATTCATCATAAATACCATCAAGTCCAACTTCTGACCTTCTGTAAACCTCGTGCATAGTTCAGGGCTGTTTTTTATGTTTTATACTAAGTAAGAAAGTACAGGAGCAGACAGATTTAGTGTCCTGTGAGAGATAGGGAAAAAACTACATACAATGGGTGCTGTAGTTATTGCTAATAATGAAACTGTGTAAGGATATAAGACAATTTCTTAAGATCAGATAAACACCTATGTTACAAAAACATTCAATGATGTTTCCATTTTGTAAAATGAGATACTGTCATACACACTGAACCCTCTCACCCCTCTTTTTTTCAAATTATTTATATGTCAGTGAAACAGTGGAACACTTCATCCTCTACCAGCCTCCTGTCATGAAAATAAATGTAGTGTAATGTAAATGACATGCATATTTAATTTGTAAAAGAGCTGAGGGATTTTTCTTGTTGAAATGCTGTTTGAAATGTTATTTTGCATCTGCTCCTGTTCTTTTTTATTGTCACGAACTGGCTCAAAGTCAAACTAGACTTACCGCCTTGCGGTTGTTTGCCTCCGCCAACCAGTCAAGTTGGAAATATGGTCACAATCGCCCCTTCTGTTCCTGAGTTAGAGTGTTGAATAATGCCCAGAACTGTTTTTGCAGAACATTATGATGTCACAGTGAAATTGACCTTTGACCGTTTGTATGTAAAATGTCATCACTTCATTATTTTGTCCTATTAAAAGTTTGTGTTAAATTGTATCATAATTAGTGTGTAAATTCTAGAGCTATGGCCAGAAACGTGTTTCATGAGGATGCATTGACCTTGACCTTTAACCACCAAATTCAAATCAGTTCACAAGAGTGGGATGGACAAACAACCTGAAAACAAATTGCCCCCGGCCACAGCTGTTGTCAGCGTAGAGGCATAAATAGGGAATCACACATGAATAAAGGTTAAACAAAATTAAAAGTATTCTAAACTTAAGATAAAATAAAAATAATTATGTTCATTAGGAACTCACAGCAAGAAGGTTCCTGGTTCTAACCTGCTGGCCTGCTGGGTCCTTTCTGTGTGGAGTTTGCATGTTCTCCCCATGTCTGTGTGGGTTCTCTCCGGGCGCTCTGGCTTCCACCCACAGTCCAAAGACATGCAGGTTTGGTTCAATGGTGACTCTAAAAATTGCCCGTATAGGTGTGAATGTGAGTGTGAATGGTTGTTTGTCTTTATATGACAGCCTCGTGATAGACTGGCGACCTGTCTAGGGTGCACCCTGTCTCATGTCAGCTGGGATTGCCCCCCCCCCCGGGACCCTATATGGATAAGCAGTGTGGATAATGGATGGATGGATGTATAGGTACTTTCAGTAATGGATGCAGAACGATGAGGACTGTAGTGTGTGGTGGGTGCAAACGAAACACAAAACCTCAACCAAACTGGCTGGTGGATGCCTGGAAAGAAGAGAAGAGAGAGAGAGGTTAGACATGAAGCCACTTAAATGGATGCAGGTCCAATTTACTCAGGTGTATGCTGTTTCCTGATGTCCCTCCTTACTCTGCCCATTGGCTCCTGAGCCAGGAAGCTAAACCAACTTTACAAGCAGCAGGCAGAGTGGATGGGACTTGTAGTTACTGTACACCAATACAAATGCATAAATACAATTAAGAGTTTGATATGTATCAGTAAAGTGGTAAGAATAACACTCTTTTAAACATTTGGGATTTGGCAGAGAATAGAGACACTTCGGTATGAGCACTAGATGTTCATGTCCTGACCCAAAATACAGTTGAAATGTTGAGCACAAAATTTGTCCTAGTGTGTCCAACCAAGAGGTCTGCAGCAGGACAAAGCAAAAATGCTCAAAATACTTTGCCTTTAGAAAATTCCAGCTATCAAAATATCATAAAAACTGGATTTAAAGATGCTGAACCAAAGTAGCAAAACAAGTTCCTCTAACCAAAAGCATAAAAGCTTACTAGCCACAAAAATGTCACAAGACACATGTGCTAGCACCACGATGACTTTACATCAACAAAGCTAAAACCCAAAAACTCGAAAACACGTGCTTCTACCAAAGCTGCTAGACTTCAACCTGAACTCAACATTCAAAGGTAACTAAATCAGTGTTATATAAATTCCAGTCCCCCACTTCCAAAAACAGTTGTACGCCTGATCATCCTGAGGTGTGCCTGACTCGATTTAACCCCAAACCATGTTCAGTAATAGCCCAGCTCCTTGCATCTACTGCTCCTTCAAAAAAATGTGCAAAATGTATCATGGCCCCCTCATTGAACATGGAGAGCAGGCAAGAACTACTGGAAAAAAAATCAAGAATCTGGATGGGCAATAGGCAAACAAGAATTAATAGAACTAGAAACCATTTAGAAACCATTTTTAAAAACAAGACAACAAGACTAGAAATACTAATTCCCCAAGCAGCACACAGAGAGGGAGGGACATCACGATCTTATTTCAAAAGAGACTCTTAAGCAGCTGACGATGAACATGAACTGGTGTTTTGTCTGGAGTTATTTTCTCTGACAACTTTCTGTCCAGTTATTAGATATAAAAACAATGGCAGACCAGTTATATCACCACTAAGGACACCTAATTACTTGCTGTAATGTTGCATTGGTTGTGTGAAAGTTTTTATCATAGCACCGTGGCACAAGTAATTGCCAGGCATCTTGTATTTTACAGTAGGGTCTTTGTGTATAATTTTAAACCAGGCCATCGTGCTTCCTTTTGAAGTTTAAATTAATCGAAAAACACTGCTAGACTAATGGAAACTGGCATGACGCACAGAGACAGCAATTATGAATATGACTGGAGGTTATACAGTGAGAGGCATGAAAGGTCAAGCATAAAGTCATTAGTGTGCCACACAGAGAGTCTGTTTAGACTCCCCTAAACTCAATTGTTATGGTCATTTTCACTGTAGAGAAATGGAATCTCGTATGTATTACCAGTGCCTCTTATTTTTACCCACAAAAAACAAGTATCAATCAGGGCTTTGGAACATAACTTTGGATCTCCAAATATGATGCTATGATCTGATCAGAAGACGAAAGTAAACACTTTCAAGAGCCATTTGAACATGTTTGACTTGCAAAAATGGATGTCCTCCCTGTTTGATTGCATTATACTAATAGAGCTCTTTTGGAGGATGTAATTAAGTGGAGTTTATAGTCTTAGATTAAAGCATCCTCTAGATCACAGGCAATGTTAATGGAGTGATGCATTTTCACTTGAAACCAGATGGGAGCACATCACAACAGAACAAAACATCATTGGCTGCAGTAATGGGCAGGGCTCCACTATTACCATGCAAAAGAGAAAACATCTTCATAATAAATGACTCTCAAATGAGTAAGAGAGAGAAACAGCAAAGCAACAAGAAAAAAAAAATTTCCTCTGCATTTAATTTAAATGAAAATGTCAGTGTGCAGAACAGTTGCAAAGGAGGAATAGAAGACTGTGAATATAAGTTTTAAATTTGCACTAATCAATAGAGAACAAGCTTATGGGTGTGTTTGTTTGCTTCAATAGCTGTTACTGTCATCTCTTTCTTAATGTTGCTCACACGTCTTTTGCAGTTCTCAAGTATTCTCACATGTTAACCAAACTCCCCTCTGGGTGCATTCACTCACTGCTGTGGGGGCTCTGACATGTTTTGCTTGGGAATGAACAGAAATGCTGGTTAGCCAGAACTTATGTAGTGATAACTGTAACTTCATATTTAGTGTTCATGCCATTGAAAGAAACCCAGTTGCAGTTAGCTTCCATTTTTAGCAACAGTTAAAGGAGATTCGAGTAATTAAACATTAGACCTGAAATCAGTCAAGAGAATGTAACATTTGCGCAATACGAACATGAGCATTTACAGTGTGTGTGAGCAGTATTGAAAGATTACTCTGGGTACATACTGTAACAGTATCCTAGCTACAATTTGGTGAAGGCAAAGGAAAAGAAATCTTTCTGCTCATTCCTGTGCCAGTGCTTGTCGTGGGCCTGACAACAGCTTCATAAGTTTCAGCAGAGATCGGTTTGATCTAAATTTGAAATACAAATTGGCTTTGTGACAGGTAATGTGATCTCAGTAACGCTGTCATTGCCATTTAAAGGATACTGAACTTTAGCGCAGTACGACGTGTATCTCACATGTGTTGGGGCCACCCAAAAATGCTGAACAGCCACTCCTCAATATTAACTTTTCCAGTCAGGCAAATCAGGCCTGAAATAGAGTAACATTATATCTGCAAATAAATTGCACTTTAGGGGCACATTTATAAATACAGACCAGACCTCATGGTACTTCATAACTGTCTCCCATTAATCAAACTGGGCAAGATATAAGTTCAGTTTGTGACATGCTGTGAATGAGATACTATATGTTTTTTTTTTTACATACAGAAATACATTTGAACAGGGCTGTTATCTTGCTCTTAATAAGAGTTCCTCTAGATAGCACATGGGGGGGCAGGGCCTCTTGCTGTGCAGGCAGCTGCTTCACATCTGGAACTTAATATAAACATCATGGCCAATAAAATCATTCCATTTCCTTAATTACTATTCCTGTCATTTCCGCACTAAATGAAAAGTTATTAATTCAGGGCCAACACAAACATGCTTCTCCA